TTTCTTGCAGACATTTCAGTACCCAACTGCGTAACATCATCAGTGCTAGAAGGGAGTTGGGGGAAGAGAAGGAGGAGGGTGGGGAGGAGGAGGGGAGGAGAAGGAGGAGGAGGAGGAGAGGAGGAGGAGGAGGAGGACGACGACAACTGTGGGGTCCTTGATGCTCTCTGAGTTTGCTTGTTTTCTTGCAAACGTTTCATCACCCAACTGGGTAACATCATCAGTGCTAGAAGGGAGGAGGAGGAGGAGGAGGGGGAGGAAGAGGAGGAGGAGGAGAGGAGGAGGAGAAGGAGGAGGAGGAAGAGGAGGAGGAGGAGGAGGAGGAGAAGGACTGATGGTAGAGAAGAAGAAGGAAGACTGTGAGGTCCTTGGTGCTCTCTGAGTTTGCTTGTTTTCTTGCAGACGTTTCCTTACCCATACTAGATAACATGATGATGATGTTACCTAGTTGGGTAATGAAATGTCTGCAAGAAAACAAGCAAACTCAGAGAGCACCAAGGACCCCTCATATCAACCCTGAGCTACAAATATTCTCCTTTATTAGCAAGGAGAAATTTCCTGACAATGGGAATAATTAACCAATGGAACTCCTTGCCTCCAGAAGTTGTGAATGCTCCAACACTGGAAGTTTTTAAGAAGAGACTGGACAGCCATTGGTCTGAAATGGTATAGGGTCTCCTGCCTGAGCAGGGGGTTGGAGTAGATGACCTCCAAGGTCCCTTCCAACTTTATTATTATTAATATCAGTTACTTTGAGACCCAGTCCCTCACTTTTTCCTTGGGAGGGTAGTGTTGTTAGCGTGCTGTGGCCCGGTACTGGTCCACGGACTGGGGGCTTTGGGGACTCCTGCCTTAGATCAAGGGAGCCAGTTGGAAGAGGCCAAGCTGTCTAGAGAGCAAGAGGGGGATGTAGGCTGCTGAAGTGCCCGTTACCTGTTTCCAATTTTTTCCAGCTGAATCTCTTCGGAACAGCCATTGGATCCAAAGAATGTGAAAAAAATGCCGGTGTCCGTTCCAGCCTGTGACAAATCTCCAGTCTCCACCGTCGCTTCATAGAGAATCTGGAGAACATTGAAGTGCAAGGTTAGCGCAAAAAAAAAAAAAAAAATAGCCACCCAGGTTTTCAAAAGCATAAAAGAGAATCAAACCTCACAAATGCCAAGGCCAAGCTGCCATCTTTCAAATAGGATGGGATGGGTAGGGAATCACGGAGTCATTGGCTTTACAATGCAAAACTGACTTCTGTGTATACATTGTAGCTGGGTATGTGTATGTAGGTGTGGCAGAGGAGAATGAATTAATTCTGAAAATGAAACCAATTTCTGCACAGTGAAATATGCTTTGGAATCAACGGGCAAGTTGGGCTTCCTTCTGATTTTCATATTGTCAGAGCATGCACTGTCTTATCAGGCTGAGATAACCCAGAAGTAAATACAGTAAACAGTGGTCTATATTAAATGGTGATTTATCTTACACTATCTACAGTATCATACGCCAGGGTACGTACACATACATACACATGGTAATACAGCAGAATCTAACACACAGCAGTTACAGCAGGAAATGGACAAGAGAGAAAGAGAGGGAGAGACTCCAGCAAAAGCCTTCCCTTTTATACTCAGGCTCTTAAAGGGATACAGATCCTGCTTGCTCTTAAAGAGACACAGACCCTGCTGAGTCATTCCTGTCATTGCATCATCCACCTTATATTACATTATATCATTACATCTTCTTATATCATTACATAAGCTGTTTAGCTGTTAAATCATTACCTCTCTCTCTCTCTCTCTCTCTCTCTCTCTCTCTCTCTGTGTGTGTGTGTGTGTGTGTGTGTGTGTGTGTGAGAGAGAGAGAGAGAGAGAGGTCCTTGGCCTTCCCCACCCTGAGATACCTCATGTGCACATTTTAACGAGCAAGGGAATGATCTCATTCGAGGTACGAGATTCACTCTAAGAGTTTTCAAGTTATGAGTGGAATGGGCAGGCTCCATTACACTCATAACTTGAGGACTACCTGTAGCGTTTTGGTGGTCAGGAACCATTTTTAAGATACTTAAGGGATTAAAGTCCCAGTGAGAAAAGCAACAATCATAAGCAGGTTGGGACATGGCTTCAACAGAAGTCTTTGATTAGCCGCCAGTTGTTTAGCCATTGATCAATTGCAGATATATTGATGTTACTTCAACTCCAAGCTGACAACTACAATGCTACAATCAAAACTCCTCCTGTAATTTTTTTTAATGTCCAGAGTGTTAATAGCACCCTGATGACTTTTTCGACGTAGTAGTCCAGATTCAGCTTACGAACAAGTTAAAAGTAGATCCTGTGGACAATTACAATGAAATGTGGGTATTGTTCACTGAATGTGGTGTAAAACTTTTACATATTTGTATTTATTTGTGGGGTGTTTTTGCTTATTGATACTTCCTATTTCTAAACGGCACATCTCAAAGAGGTTTGTGCCATGGTAAATAAAGGACATACTGCATACATATAATTTTCACTGTGTCGTTTTCTTCTTTCTCTTTGCTATTTGTTTTGTGTTTTTTCCCCTCTCTTCATTCTTGTTTATTAAACAAATAAAAACAACCTTCCACCCTTCCGAGGTTGGTAAAATGAGGACCCAGATTGTTGGGGGCAATATGCTGATTCTGTAAACTGTTTAGAGAGGGCTACAAAGCACTGTGAAGCAGCATATAAATCTAAGTGCTTTTGTTATTGCCCTTCATCCCTCCCTCCCTCCTTCCTTCCTTCCTTCCTTCCTCTCCCCTTCCTTCCTTTCCTTCGTTCCTCCCTCCCTCCCTCTCTCTCCCTTCCTTCCTTTCCTTCCTCCCTCCCTCCCTCCTTCTCCCTTCCTTCCTTTCCTTCCTTCCCTCCTTCCTTCCCTCCTCCCTCCTTCCTTCCTTCCTTCTTCCTCCCCCTCCCTCGCTCTCCCCTTCCTTCCTTCCTTCCTTCCTTTCCTTCCTTCCTTCCTTCCTTCTTCCCCCTCCCTCGCTCTCCCCTTCCTTCCTTCCTTCCTCCCTCCCCCTTCCTTCTTACCCCCTTCCTCGCTCTCCCCTTCCTTCCTTCCTTTCCTTCCTTCCTCCCTCCCTCCTCCTTTCCGTTCCTTCTTCCTTCCTTCCTTCCTCCCTCCCCCGTCCTTCCTTCTTTCCTTCCTCCCTCCCTTCCCTCCCTCCTTCCTTCCTTCCTTCCTTCCCTCCTCCCTCCTTCCTTCTTCCTCCCCCTCCCTCGCTCTCCCCTTCCTTCCTTCCTTCCTTCCTTCCTTCCTTTCCTTCCTTCCTTCTTCCCCCTCCCTCGCTCTCCCCTTCCTTCCTTCCTTTCCTTCTCCCTCCCTCCTTCCTCCTTCCTTCCTTCCTTCCTCCCTCCCCTCCTCCCTTTCCTTCCTCCCTCCCTCCCCCTCCCTCCCCCTTCCTTCCTTCCTTCCTTCCTTCCTTCCTTCCTTCCTTCCTTCCTTCCTTCCTTCCTTCCTTCCCTGAAGGCACAGTAGTTAGAATGCAGTATTGCAGGCTGACTCTGCCCATAGCCTGGAGTTTGATCCTGACCGGCTCAAGGTTGACTCCTCCTTCCATCCCTCCGAGGTGGGTAAAATGAGGACCCAGATTGTTGGGGGGCAAAAAGGCTGACTCTGTAAACCTGCTTAGAGAGGGCTGTAAAAGCACTAAGGGGCAGTATATACGTTTGCTATTTCAATTGCTATTTGTAAGGGTTGTCAGTGAGGGCTACCTACGTGCCACCCACGTGTTTGCTTCAAAGGAGAATGGTAAGGTCTTGCAGGAAGACTCACCTTTAGGCCAATGTTGATGCAATCCGCATCCAGGATGTTGAAGACGCGTGAGGTTAGACCATCCCCCCTATCCTGGGCCAGCCAGCACTTGCAAACAAAAGTGTAGATCACACCCTTCGTTGGCACTGTGACGCTGAATTCATCCAGGAGCCAAGAGCTTTCTGGAGTGGCCCCATCATGGCCAATCTAGGAGACAGGAAAAAAAAAAATCACCCAACTGGGTCACAACGGACATAGGTGAGGTTCTTAAAGATCGAACACTAAGGGATGTTTAAAACTGGGGCTAAACGAAAAGAGCAAATAATTCTGGGATAGGAAGGCTTGAACACTGGGCCCCATCCAACAAAAATGAAATTCAGTGCAGAGAAAAGGAAAGCTTTACACTTAGGCAAGAAAAATCAAACCTGCAGGTACAGACTATGTGAAACCTGCCTCAATGACAGTAACTGTGAAAGGGAACCTGGCGTCCCAGTGGAGAATCACTTAAATACGAGCCAACCGGGTGCGGCAGCAGACAAAAAAGCCAGTGCAATCCTAGGTTGCATTAACAGAGGGATAGAATCAAGGTCACGTGAAGTATTAGTACTGCTTTATAAAGCCTTAGTAAGATCACATCTGGAATATTGCACCCAGTTTTAATCACCACATTATATATAAAAAAAGATGTTGAGAGTGCAGAGAAGAGCAACAAAGATGTTTAGGGGCCTGGAGGCCAAAACATAGAATAGAATAGAATAGAATAGAATAGAATAGAATAGAATAGAATAGAATAGAATAGAATAGAATAGAATAGATATTGGAATATAGAATAGAATAGATGGAATATAGAATAGAATAGAATAGAATAGAATAGAATAGAATAGAATAGAATAGAATAGAGAATATCAGATAGGGATATTCAGATAGAATAGAATAGAATAGAATAGAATAGAATAGAATAGAATAGAATAGAATAGAATAGAATAGAATAGAATAGGAAAAAGAATAGAGTAGAGTAGAGTAGAGTAGAGTAGAGTAGAGTAGAGTAGAGTAGAGTAGAGTAGAGTAGAGTAGAGTAGAGTAGAGATGGAAGGCTGATGACTGTTTGATTTTTTGGTGTGAGGGATTGTTGATTCTAGGGATCTTTGTCTTTTTAATCCAGGCTTCCTGGCTCCAATCTTTCTGACAATAGTAATAATAATAATAAAGTTGGAAGGGACCTTGGAGGTCATCTAGTCCAATCCCCTGCTCAGTCAGGAAACCCTATACATTTCAGACCAATGGCTGTCCAGTCTCTTCTTAAAAACTTCCAGGGTTGGAGCGTTCACCACTTCTGGAGGCAGGTGGTTCCACTGATTAATTAGAATAGAATAGAATAGAGTTGGAAGGGACCTTGGAGGTCATCCAGTCTAACCCCCTGCTCAGGCAGGAAACCCTATACCATTTCAGACAAATGACTGTCTAGTCTCTTCTTAAAAACTTCCAGTGTTGGAGCATTCACAGCTTCTAGAGGCAGGTTGTTCCGCTGATTAATTGTTCTGACTGTCAGGAAGTTTCTCCTTAGTTCTAGGTTGCTTCTCTCCTTGATTAGCTTCCACCCGTTGCTCCTGCCTTCAGGCGCTTTGGAGAATAGCTTGACTCCCTCTTTTTTGGGGCAACCCCTGAGATACTGGAGCACTGCTATCATGTCCCCCCTCGTCCTTCTTTTCCCTAGAACTAGCCAAACCCAATTCTTGCAACCGTTCCTTATGTGTTTTAGCTTCCAGTCCCCTAAGATTGTCACATCTGCATTTCTGCAGACCTGGTTTTTGTTTGGGGCAGACGTGGGTGGGTGGGTGGGCTGGTTTCTGCCTTTAAGATCCTTGGGGGAAATATAATATTTTGCCTTTTTAATATTTCCCAAAATATTCCTTTCTCTGGATTCTTCCCACAGTAAGTACAAAGACGAAGAGAAACGACACTTCAGGTTGGTGCTAAGCTCAGCAGCCTGGTTTTATTTTATTTTGCGCTATTTTTAGACATGGCGAGATCCTAGCATGCCCCAGATTCTGGACGTCAAGTGTCCCAACCATCCTTCCTTTTGACTCAATGACCCCCGAAAGAACCAGTTGAGGCTTATGCTGCTTGCAGAACTCTGGCGAGCTTTTACTCCCGATCTAAATATTTCCACCAAGCGGGATAAATTATAGTTTACCTTCACGGGTGGCATCCAGCAAGTTGCCACCATCCAGTTGGACTAATGTCGAACTTGGGGGTTGAATGGCTCGTTAGTCTGCCAACTAGAAGAGAGTGTGAATGTTCCTCCCCCCCACCCCCGGATTTTATAATGAAATAGATTTAGGTGTAAACCGAAATCTGTTTGATTTGATTTGTTTTGCCCAGCAAAGTCTCTCGTCTTTCCTGGGTCTGGGGATGAGCTAAGGCCGAAGGCCACTTCCTAAATCCAAAGATGCAGCTAATTGGTAAAGGAAGGGAAACGGTCGGTCAGGATGAGTTAACGGTGTGTAATACATGCAGGGGCTGTTTCTTAAACTCCCACGGAGGAGGGGCAGGAGGAGGAGAGGGAGAGGGGCAGGGAAAGGAAGGAAGGGGACAGGGGAGGAGGAGGGGGAAGAGGGGGAGGAGCAGGGGGGAAGAAGAGGAAGAGGAGGAAGGGGAAGGGGGGAGGGAGGGAGGGGAAGGAAATGGAGGAGGAAAAGGAGGAAAAGGAGGAAAAATGAAGGAGGAGGAGGAGGAAGAGGAGGAGGGGAGGAGGGGAGGGAGAGGGGCAGGGAAGGGGAAGGGGAGGAGGAAGAGGAAGAGGGGGAGAGGGGAGGAAGGGGAAGGGGGGAGGGAGGGAGGGGAAGGAAATGGAGGAAGAGGAGGAGGGGATAAGGGAGGAGAGAGGCAGGGAAGGATCGGGAGAAGGGGAAGGAATGGGAAGGAGGAGGGGAACAGGGAGAGGGGGGCAGAGAAGGAGGAGGGGGAAAGAGGAGGAGGGAGGGGGAGGGAGAGGGGCAGGGGAGGAGGAGAAGGGGGAGTAGGGGAGGGGAGGAGGGCGGAGGGGGAAGGAGGAAGAGGGGGAGGGAGGGGGAGGGCCAGGGGAGGAGAAGGGGAAGGGGAGTAGGGGAGGGGGAGGGGCAGGGAAGGGGAGTAGGGGAGGGGAGGGGGAGAGGGGAGGGGGAAGGAGGAGGAGGGAGGGGGAGGGAGAGGGGCAGGGGAGGAGGAGAAGGGGAAGGGGAGTAGGGGAGGGGAGGGGCAGGGAAGGGGAAGGGGAAGGAAGAAGGGAAGAGGGAGAGGGCCAGGGGAGGAGGAAGGGGAAGGGGAGGGAGGGGAAGAGGAGGGGGAGGGGAAGGAGGAGGAGGTGTGGACAAGGCTAGGAACAAAATTCAAAGCCAAGAAGCTTTGATGTCTTCCTAACCGTTGCTTCACCCAAATGCGTGCAGGAGATACAGCAAGGAGGCCTGGGCCCCGGGCTGTATTCACGGAAGAGCAGCTCCATGCAAGGAGCTAGAAATATTGGTTGGGGGGTCTGAGCCAATTTTAAAAATAAACTAAAGGTACAGTGGTTTAAAAAAAAAAAAAAACCAAGTCCCTGTTTTTATTTTTCAGCCAAGCAGGCCCAGCCCTGTATTTATTGCCTGCACGCAATCTTGTGGCTTTTTTTTTTTTTTAACCAGCTGCTTTACCTTTAATCATCGCTAATATTATCCTTAGGAGGCGACTTTAAAGCCTGCCGTTATTAGACGGATTCTATAGAAACCAGCCAGCCAACCAACCAACCCACGGTGCGGTTCACAAAACGCAGCACAAAGGTGTGTTGCGATGGATTATAATTCAAGCACACCACTTTCTCGAGGTCCAAAGCGGCGCCTTTGTGCCTCTGAGTGCCCGCTCTGTACGGGGGAAGCAGGCTATAGAAATTAGGCAGAGCAGGAACCAGACTTGATTTGAACTCAATGATTAATTACTACATTATATTAATAGAGGTGATGAGATGACTCCCCATGGTATTGGATAATTGCTACATTCTTTTATGTAAAATAGGATTATCTAATGGTAATTTGTTGATTGATTCGTGTGTGTGTGTGTGTGTGTGTGTGTGTGCCTGTGTCCATTTATGGACCATAGCAACAAGCCATCTTGAGGGAAAAGAAGAACGCGAGCTTCAAGAGGAGGCCAAAAAAAGACCGTCAACCATTTGTTACAGAAATATTTCTGCTCAGTGATTTCTGATCAGCGCCCGTGGCTCCTGATCCGTGGTTAAGGCCCTCCCTCCTGTAAGGGTGTCTCAAGAGAAGCTATGAAAACAATTTCCATGTTGGGCAAGACAATTATACATGAAGCTTTTCTCGCTGTGGGCCATTTATGAAATTCCTTCTTCTTCCCTTTGGTTTTTGTTTTTGTTTTTATTCTATTCTATTTTATATTTTATATTATTTTATATTTTATATTCTACTCCACTCCACTCCTCTCCTCTCCTCTCCTCTCCTCTCCTCTCCTCTATTCTATTCTATTCTATTCTATTCTATTCTATTCTATTCTATTCTATTCTATTCTATTCTATTCTATTCTATTTCTATTCTACTCTGTTCTATTCTAATTCTGTATTTCTATTCTATTCTATTCTATTCTGTTCTGTTCTGTTCTATTCCGTTCCGTTCCGTTCCGTTCCATTCTATTCTGTTCTGTTCTGTTCTGTTCTATTCTATTCTATTCTATTCTATTCTATTCGAATTCTGTATTCTATTCTATTCTATTCTATTCTTTCTATTCTATTCTATTCTATATTCTATTCTCTATATTCTATTCTATTCATTCCATTCTTAATTCTATTCTTAATTCTATTCTATTCTATTCTATTCTATTCTATTCTATTCTATTCTATTCTATTCTATATTCTATTCTATTCCATTCCATTCTTAATTCTATTCTAGTCTAGTCTAGTCTATTCTAATCTAGTCTAGTCTAGTCTAAAACATATCCAACTTGAACCAAAGGACTCCAATCTCTTTGGGAAAAAAAAAAAACCTCCAGGCATAGAGAATCCACAACATCCGGAGATCTGTAATTTCTCTGCCTCTCTTAAGGCCAAGCTGAGCTCCAGGATCTTACCGATCACTCTTTCAGACCTCACTTGTCAGTCACGTGGCCTACCTGAATTTTTCTGACCTCGCCAACGTCGGCTCCCATAACAGAGAATTTCTCCACAGAAGACTCTGCAAACTGGGTCTTTCCTTCTGGGAGATCGAGCCACATGTGGCCTGTGGATTCTTCCTGAGGACCTAGCACGACTATGAAAACTCTGCTGCTGGTGCTTGAGTCGTATTCTTTCCCAGTTGTGAGGACAATGTGGTAAGGAATGACTAAAAACAAAGAAAATCACATCAGGCAAACGAGATGGAGACACAGCTTACTGTGGACCAGTGGACCAGTACCGTGGACCAGTATTGGGCCATGGCATGCCAGCAACCGGTCCACACAAACAAGCAAAGCCCCATCTGTGGGATGCAGGGAGCACACAAAACCACACACTCTCCGGCCCGCGGAAAAACCTCTCTAAAATGACTTTTACAAACACAATTGAAACGTAAGCCGATCAGTAAAGATGTTTTATATATATATATATATATATATATATATATATATATATATATATATATATATATATATATATATGTTGATATAATGGTTATTTGGACAAACACAAGAAAAATGTTTATATCCAACCTCGTATGTGTCGAAAGTATTAAGAATGATATTTGTTTAATAGTTGACAAAAGGTCAAAAGAATACTACTGTGAGAAGAGAAGACAATAAAATATATCCTTAACTAATATATATTGATGATGGAATTATCGAAATTACTTATTTGGGATTGTTATTAAATAGATGAACCCAGACAACACACTGTTTATTCAGCACTAAAGATTGCTAATCAATAAAATAGATTTTTAAAAAAGGAAAAAAGGACAACCATGTCCTGGATGATTGAGAAGCTCCATAGACATTTTGTTATTGTGGCATTTACGGGGACCTTTGCCCTTCCCAATTGTGTTTGAAACAGTCTAGAGCAGGGGTCTTCAAACGTGGCCCTTTGATGACTGGTGGACTTCAACACCCAGAATTCCTCAGCCAGCATGCCTGGCTGAGGAATCCTGGGAGTTGAAGTCCACCGGTCATAAAAGGGCCACGTTTGAAGACCAGCGTTTTTCAAACTTTGCAATTTGAAGATGTGTGGACTTCAGCAATTAGAATTCTCCAGCCAGCATACCAAGTTTGAAAAACACCCATCTAGACATAGATCTATAACTTCAGTAAGAAACAGGTTTGGCTGAGTCTAGGTGTAAGCCTGGATTGGTCTTATACCAGTGGTTCTCAACCTTTTTAAAGCCGCGACCCCCAACCGGTTGTAAGTCGAGGACTACTCAACCGGTCGTAAGTCAAGGACTACTCAACTGGTGCAGCACCGTTTGCAGACTGGGGCTTTTGGCGGGCTCAGCAGGGCAGAGACAGCCTGGACAATTCCGATTGGCTTTTGAAAGCCAATAGAATTAGACTCTATTCAAGAGAGTCTATTCTATTGGCTTTCAAAAGCCAAGAGAATAAAAGGGAGTAGCACAGCTAAGGAAAAGGGGGGAAAAAATGGCGGACTGCGTTGTTTGGCGACCCCCGTGAAATGGTCGTTCGACCCCAAATGGGGTCCCGATCCACAGGTTGAGAACCACTGTCTTATACCCTGCTTTCTCCACACAATATTACTTTCTTACGTGACCCATCAAATGCAGATCTGTTGGTCTTCTCGTCCTTTAGACTGGAATTGTCGTCTCGGTTCAGGGATGTGCTCCCAATGCTGAGGGAGTCGGGATCGTAATTCTAATAAGAGAGCACAAATATATGAAAGAACACCAGTTGCATCTGTTTTCTTCTGCAGCCAAGGAGATATTTCCCATCTCCAGAGAATATTATTGCTGAATTTATTTTTTGGGACTGGAAGTAAATTCTGGTTCAAAATCTCTTTCAGCCAGAAGCTAACAAAGTGACCTTAAGCAATTTTTCCCTTCCTCTCTGTATCTACCCAGCCCCTTTCACAGATTTTCCAAGATGATAAATGGATTAATTCTATAGCTGCGAACTTGAATGCTTGGGTGACAAAGGGAGAATAACAGAGTTGGAAGGGACCTTGGAGGTCTTCTAGTCCAGCCCCCTCCAGAAGCAGGAAACCATCTTCCATTTCAGACAAGTGGCTGTCCAGTCTCTTCTTATAAGCCTCCAGTGTTGGAGCTCCCACAGCTTCTGGAGGCAAGGAGTTCCATGATTGATTGTTCTTCTTTATCAGGAAGTTTCTCTTTAATTCCAGGTTGCTTCTCTCCTTGACTAGTTTCCATCCATTGCTTCTTGTCCTGCCTTCAGGTGTTTTCAAAAATAGCTTGACTCCCTCTTCTTTGGGGCAGCCCCTGAGATATTGGAAGGCTGCTATCCTGTCACCCCTAATCCTTCTCTTCATTAAACTAGACATCCCCAATTCCTGCAACTGTTTTTTGTGCTTTAGCCTCCAGTCCCCTGATCATCTTTGTTCTTTTCTGCACTTTTCTAGAGTTTCAAGATCTTTTTTTAATATTGTGATGACCAAAATTGGATGCAATATTCCAAATATGGGCTTATCAAGACATTATTAACCAGTACTAACACTTCACGTGATCTTGCTTCTATCCCTCTGTTAATGCAGCCCAGCACTGTGTCGGCTTTTTTGGCAGCTGCAGCACACAGCTGGCTCCTATTTAAGGGATTGTCCACTAGGACTCTGAGATCCTTCTCACAGATACAGGAAAAAATAGAGACCATGGGAACTCAGCTATTCGCAGTGTGCTTTTCAACAAAATAGCATGTTGTGTCTGATTGCACCTACTATGGCAATCATTTGGTGACTGGGCAAGCTTTCTACATGGCAGCCATTTTATTAAAATACCCACAACATGGCTTAAGAACCATGGCAAAAAGATGTGAAATTGGCCACAACTCACTTAACAACCGGTTTGCTTAGCAACAGACATTCTGGCGGCAATTGTGTTAATAAGTCAAGGATGACCTGTCTTGTATCCAGTAGGATGCAATATTATAACATTAGAAAGAAGAAACTGCTGCAGATTGCCTCAAAGCAGGTTTCAGTCTTGAGCTGATGGTTTAGTATTCTCTATTGTATAATTGCTAGATAGATAGATAGATAGATAGATAGATAGATAGATAGATAGATAGATAGATGGATGATAGGTAGGAAGGTAGGTAGGTAGAGAGGGAGGGAGGGAGGGAGTGGAGTGGAGTAGAGTGGAGTAGAGTAGAGTAGAGTAGAGTAGAGTAGAGAAGAGAAGAGAAGAGAAGAGAAGAGAAGAGAAGAGAAGAGAAGAGAAGAGAAGAGATATTGGAATATAGAATAAAATAGGAGTCTCCTACTGAAGCAGGGGTTGGACTAGAAGACCTCCAAGATCCCTTCTAATTCTGTTATTCTGTTAAACGGAAGCTGGCTTTTTGCTTGACAGTATGCCACTCTTTCCCTATTCAACCCCCGCACAAAAAAAATAATTTTTTTTAAAAAATAAAATTAATAAATAAACAAATACCATACCACAAGATGCAATCTTAATAATAATAATAATAATAATAATAATAATAATAATAATAATAATAATAATAATAATGAAAATAAAAAAGTTGGAAGGGACCTTGGAGGTCATCTAGTCCAACCCCCTGCTCAGGCAGGAAACCCTATACCATTTCAGACAAATGGCTGTCCAGTCTCTTCTTAAAAACCTCCAGTGTTGGAGCATTCACCACTTCTGGAGGCAGGTTGTTCCACTGGTTAATTGTTCTCACTGTCAGGAAGTTTCTCCTTAGTTCCAGGTTGCTTCTCTCCTTGATGAGTTTCCATCCGTTGCTTCTTGTCCTCCCTTCAGGCACTTTGGAAAATAGCTTGACTCCCTCTTCTTTGGGGCAGCCTCTGAGATGTTGGTGGGCCTGAAGTTGTTCTTCCCCTCCCCCAACGCTTCCCCCAGAAAAAAGTAGAAATGCTTTTAAGCAACGTTCTTTTCTTTTCTTTTCTTTTCCATTTCAACCTTAATTATATCCAAGAAGGTGACTTTGATCTTGGATATAAACTTGCTTTTCCAAAACAGAACAGCTTCTGCCTCCATCCCGGAAACCCAAGTGTTCCATCAAAAGGGCTGTATGTCTTAGATTTTATTTTCCCTGGGACCCCAGTGCAGGACTCATAGGCTGAAGATAAAAATACAATTTTTCAGAGAGTCAAAAGTACACCCTTCGCGGAATATCTCGCTTCCCCATATGTGTTATCTGTCGCAAGCCTGCTTGCATCAGAAGCCCAGAACTTAGCTGTGGCGGTATTTTCGGCAGACAAGAATGAATTTAGCTGCAGCCCTTGGAAAGATGATTTTTAATAGATGAATCGAGATTAATTGCCAAAAATAAGAAAAAACTATCTGGCTCCGGGTTACAACAAAATAGTTCCAACTGGTTAATCGAGAACCAAGAACACCTCATGATTCATAATAATAATAATAATAATAATAATAATAATAATAATAATAGTTGAAAGGGACCTTGGAGGTCATTTAGTCCAACCCCCTGCTCAGGCAGGAAACCCTATACCATTTCAGACAAACGGCTGTCCAGTTTCTTCTTAAAAACTTCCAGTGTTGGAGCATTCACCGCTTCTGGAGGCAGGTTGTTCTGCTGGTTAATTAGAATAGAATAGAATAGAATAGAATCTGGAAGGGACCTTGGAGGTCATCTAGTCCAACCCCCTGCTCAGGCAGGAGACCCTATACCCTTTCAGACAAATGGCTGTCCGGTCTCTTTTTAAAAACTGTCAGTGTTTAAGAAAATAGCTCCAACTGGTTAATTAAGAGCCAAGAAAACCTCATGATGGTTACTTCTGGGAATCTCCTGACGTTTTTAAAGTTGAGGTACAACAGACCATTTAGGGACCATTCAAAGTTATGATGGCACTGGAAAAAGTGATTTAGGACCGTTTTTCACACTTATGACCATTGCAGCATCCATTGCAGGGTCACATAATCAGAATTTGGACGCTTGGCAACGGACTAATTCTAACCGCACACTTAAATTGATCACCATAGTTTACCCTAGTAGTATCTTGTGCGTATGGCATCACCATGAATGCTCGCCACTCTTTTAATCTGCTTTTGACTCTCTGGAAAAAAAAATGTGTTCTTCTGTCCCTCTAAATTTTAGCAAGTTGGAGAGCCTTTTAATATCAAGGCCAGGGGTCTTCAAACTTGGCCGTTTGATGACTGGTGGACTTCAACTCGCGTGCTTGGCTGAGGAATTCTGGGAGTTGAAGTCCACCAGTCATCAAAGGGCCAAGTTTGAAGAGCCCTGGTCTGGATCCAAGCGCGCAGTTTCATCAAAATGGCCGACTGAGGAATTCTGGGAGTTGAAATCCACCAGTCATAAAAGGGCCAAGTTGGAAGACCCCTGGTCTGGATCTGAGCCCGCAGTTTCATCAAAATGGCCGACTGAGGAATTCTGAGAGTTGAAATCCACCAGTCATAAAAGCGCCAAGTTGGAAGACCCCTGGTCTGGATCCAAGCCCGCAGTTTCATCAAAATGGCCGACTGAAGAATCCTGGGAGCTGAAGTCCCCCAGTCATAAAAGGGCCAAGTTGGAAGACCCCTGGTCTGGATCCAAGCCGGCACTTTCATCAAAATGGCTGACTGAGGAATTCTGGGAGTTGAAGTCCACCAGTCATAAAAGGGCCAAGTTGGAAGACCCCTGGTCTGGATCCAAGCCGGCACTTTCATCAAAATGGCCGACTGAGGAATTCTAGGAGTTGAAGTCCACCAGTCATAAAAGGGCCAAGTTGGAAGACCCCTGGTCTGGATCCAAGCCGGCACTTTCATCAAAATGGCCGACTGAGGAATTCTGGGAGTTGAAGTCCACCATCATAAAAGGGCCAAGTTGGAAGACCCCTGATCAAGACTTACTTTTTCCCAAAGGACTCGCTCAAGGCTGAGATCCTCCTTTTTTCTCGACAGCCAACGTTCACACTCAAAGAGGTAGGCGCTGTCGGTGGCATCGTTCAGGATCTCAACTTTCTCCAAGAACCAGTCCGGCCTTGGCAGAGTGTTGTCATGGCGGATGCGGATCTTATAGATGCTTCCGAGGTCCACAGCTTCGACTGTGAATATGTCTTCCTGTGGGAGACCGAATATAAATCCTTGGTTGGTCTTTCAAAGGGCATTTCTTATGCCAACAGAATAACAGAGTTGGAAGGGACTTTGGAGGTCTTCTAGTCAAGCAGGAGACCCTATAACATTTCAGACAAATGGTTCTCCAATTAACTTATTCTGTTTTGTTCTGTTACATTCTGTTCTATTCTATTCCATTCCGTTCAATTCCATTCCGTATTTTATATTCTATTCTATTCTATGCTATGCTATGCTATGCTATGCTATTCTATTCTATAATTCCATTCCATTCCTCTATTCTATTCTATTCTATTCTATTCTATTCTATTCTATTCTATTCTATTCTATTCTATTCTATTCTATTCTATTCCACATTTTCTATTCTATTCTATCCTCTTATTCTGTTCTGTTCCATTCCATATTTTCTATTCTGTTCTGTTCTGTTCCATTCCATATTTTCTATTCTATTCTATTCTGTTCTATTCTGTTCTATTCTATTCTATTCTATTCTATTCTATTCTATTCTATTCTATTCTACCCTCCTGTTCTCTTCTGTTCTGTTCTGTCCTGTCCTATCCCATTCTATTCCATTCCATATTTTCTCTTCTCTTCTCTTCTCTTCTCTTCTCTTCTCTTCTCTTCTCTTCTCTTCTCTTCTCTTCTCTTCTCTCCTGTTCTGTTCTATCCTGTTCTGTTTTCTGGAATATACATTCTAAACACATCTGAAGAATACAGGCAATCCTCGACTTACGACCATAACTGAGCCCAAAATTTCCATTGCTAAGCAAAACAGTTGTTAAGTGAATTTTCCCCATTTTATGACCTTTCTGGCCACAGTTGTTAAGTGAATCGCTGCATGTGTTATGTTAGTAACACGGTTGTTAAGTGAATCTGGCTTCCCCATTGACTCTGCTTCTTGGCAGGTCGCAAAAGGGGATCACTGCAACTGTCATAAGTACATGCCCATTGCCCTGTGTGAAAATGTTGATCACGTGATCGCGGGGATGCTGCAACAGTCATAAATGTGAAAAAAGGACATAAGTCACTTTTTTTAGTGTTATTGTAATTTCAAACCATCCCTAATGGTTATAAGCCGAGGACTGCCTGTATTTATTTACACACTCAATTTGGGTGCCAGCTTGAACGAAGGTTGGGTATGTCTAGTCTCAGGGGGACCTGGGTTCGAATCCACCCTCAGCAATGTGAACGTACTGGGTGACTTTGGGCCATGAAAAGTCTCTTAGCAGAACCTACGTCTCCCTCGGGTGGTTGTTAACCTGAAGGGGGGAGTTCTACCTAAGACACCTCAAAATCCTGAAAGAAAAGTCGGGATGTAAAACGGAGGGATTAGCGACCCTGGAAACCGGCAGGGCAGCCAGAAAAAAAAAGGCTGTTTCACCAGTACCTGTCCTCTTTCAAACTTGTTGGTGTTTGTTTCAGACTTCCTTAATTTTCTCTCTCCAGTGTCGCCTAAGTCTCCGTAGATCGTTAGGAATACATTCGCATCCGTTCCGGAGCCCTGAATATCACCCGTGAAAACGGAGACCTTGTACGAATAGACTGGAGAAGGGCAAAAAGATATATGTATGTATGTATGTATGTATATACATTTATCTATATCTATATCCATCCATCTCTATCTATCTATCTATCTATTTATCTATCTATCTATCTATCTATCTATCTATCCATCCATCCATCTATCCATCTCTATCTATCTGTCTGTCTGTCTATCTATCTATCTATCTATCTATCTATCTATCTATCTATCTATCTATCTATCTATCTCTATCCATCCATCCATCCATATCTATATCTAAATCTAAATCTATATCTATATCCATCCACATCTATCTATCTATCTATCTATCTATCTATCTATCTATCTATCTATCCATCCATCCATCCATATCTCTATCCATCCCTATCTATCTATCTATCTATCTATCTATCTATCTATCTATCTATCTATCTATCTATCTCTATCTCTATCTCTATCTCTATCCATCCATCCATCCATCCATATCTGTATCTAAATCTATATCTATATCCATCCATATCTATCTATCTATCTATCTATCTATCTATCTATCTATCTATCTATCTATCTATTTATCTATCTATCCATCCATCTATATCTATATCCATCCCTATCTATCTATCCATCCATCAATATCTATATCCATCCCTATATCTATCTATCTATCTATCTATCTATCTATCTATCTATCTATCTATCTATCTTCTATCTATCGATCAATCTATCTATCTATCTATCTATCTATCTATCTATCCATCCATCCATCCATCCATCCATCCATATCTGTATCTAAATCTATATCTATATCCATCCATCTCTATCTGTCTATTTATCTATCTATCTATCTATCTATCTATCTATCTATCTATCTATCTATCCATCTATATCTATATCCATCCCTATCTATCTATCTATCTATATCCATCTATCCATATCTATCTATCTATCTATCTATCTATCTATCTATCTATCTATCTATCTATCTATCTATCATCTATCTATTTATTTCTATTTCTATCCATCCATCCATCTATATCTATATCCATCCATATCTATCTATCTATCTATCTATCTATCTATCTATCTATCTATCTATCTATCTATCTATCTATCTATCTATCTACCTCTATATCCATCCATCCCTATCTATCTATCTATCTATCTATCTATCTATCTATCTATCTATCTATCTATTTCTAAATCTATCTCTCTATATCTCTATATAGATAATGAAATGACTGCAAGGAAACCACCAAGCTCAGTGAGCGCCAAGGACCCCACAGTCCTCTTCCTCTTCCTCCTCCTCCCCCCCACAAACCCCAACCCCTCCTTATACTGATGATGCTACCTACCATAGTTGGATAATGAGATGTCTGCAGGAAAACAACCAAGCTCAGAGAGCACCTATAGAGCAGTCTATAGGAGTAGCTGTCGTGAGCTAAGGATTCCCCCGCCCTTTGTTTTTATAAACAGAAAGTTGTTCTTTTTTGCTCCTCAGTGTTAAACCAGCAATAGCAACCAATCCCAAATGGCTGATGAGCATCTTCATTTATTTACAGCCAAGTCGAGTACCATTTCAAATATGACTCCTGATCAAATAAATAACCTCCAATGAAATATGCACCTCTTCTCAGTGCGTCCTCTGTAAGGCTGGGCTTCTGTTAATGGCACGTTCATGCAGAGTTTGTTTTAACTGTAAGCTAGTAAATAACCTAGAAAGAACCACAAGGACTTGTCCGGACAGTTGCCAAGAGTCAACATTGACTGAAAGGCTCACAACCTCATACAAAAGAATTCAATCAGTCTGACAAATAAACAAGATCTGGACAGTTTCTGATTTGTGTTCTTTCTTTCTATCTATCTATCTATCTATCTATCTATCTATCTATCTATCTATCTATCTATCTCTATATCCATCCATCCATATCTATATCTATATCTATATCATCTATATCTATAATCTATATCTATATCCATACATATCTATCTATCTATCTATCTATCTATCTATCTATCTATCTATCTATCTATCTATCTCTATATCTATCTATCTATCTATCTATCTATCTCTATATCTATCTATCTATCTATCTATCTATCTATCTATCTATCTATCTATCTATCTATCTATCTATCTATCTATCTCTATATCTATCTATCTATCTATCTATCTATCTATCTCTATATCTATCTATCTATCTATCTATCTATCTATCTATCTATCTATCTATCTGTTGTTGCTATGCATCTTTATACTATAGTTAAAACCTTGGGGTATCAAAATAAACCAGAAACAAGTCAGGAAGCTGGAAACAAATTGTGTGTGACTGTTTCTACCTCACTCATGGCTGCAGTCGTCCAGCCACATTGTGATTTATGCCTTAAAACTATGGTTTATTTCGACCCCCTTTGTAAGTCATTCTGAGCCAAGAACGTACAGATCACATTAGGGCTTGGTGTGATGTTTAAACTCAGTTTCTATTTTTAGGGAGCAAAGATCTGCATATCTTTATATGCCAGATGTGGTTCTCTATGGATACAGCGATGCAATGTCGTCCACGTAAAATGAACAGGGGAAAAAAAATTATCGCACAGTTTATCACTGCTAGCAAAGAATCGTACAATTGGTTTTGATGCAAAAATTAGTCTATATCTTTATAAGGTTTCACAAAATGACAGTTGAAAGGGACCCTGGGAGTCTCCTAGTCCAACCCCCTACTCAGGTGGTAAACCCTATGCCAGGGGTCTTCAAACTTGGCCCTTTCATGACTTGTGGACTTCAACTCCCAGAATGCCTCAGCCAGGCACGCGTGCCTGGCTGAGGCATTCTGGGAGTTGAAGTCCACAAGTCATGAAAGGGCCAAGTTTGAAGACCCCTGCCCTATACCATTTCAGACAAATGGCTGTCCAGTCTCTTCTTAAAAACCTCCAGCGACGGAGCATTCACAACTTCTGGAGGCAGGTTGTTCCACTGGTTAATTGTCCTCGCTGTCAGGAAGTTCCTCCTTAGTTCCAGGTTGCTTCTCTCCTTGGTTAGTTTCCATCTATTACTTCTTGTCCTGCCTCCAGAAGCTTTGGACAATAGGGTGACCCCCCTCTTCTTTGTAACAGCTCCTCAAAGATTGGAAGACTGCTATTATGTCAACCCCCTGGACCTTCTTTCCATTAAACTAGACACGCCCAATTTTTGCAATCATTTTTTGTATGTTTTAGCCTCCAGTCCCCTGATCATCGTTGTTGCTCTTCTCTGCACTCTTTGTAGAGTCTCAACATCTTTTTTTCATCGTAGTGACCAAAACTGGATGCAGCATTCCAAGTGTGGCCTAACCAAGGCCTTGTAAAGTGGTATTAAGACTTCACCTGATCTTGATTCTGTCCCTCTGTCACATCACATAACAGGCATCTCATATTAGCTTAGATGGACTCCAGAAGATGGTAGAGGACAGGAAGGTCTGGAGGAACGTTGTCCATGGGGTCGCGATGGGTCGGACATGACGTCGCAACTAGCAACAACAACTAGCTGAGAATAAAATTTACAGCTGATGTAAGACCTGGAAGTTGACTTACTTTCCAGAGGGTCGTCAATTTCTTCGTCAATTTGCTTAAGAGTGCCGTCTTTTGTCAGTTTTTCAGTAAAAACTCTGGATGGAACCAGCTCCCTCATAATTTCGCCGTCGTCTTCAGATTTCGCCAGCCATTTACCACAGGGAAATGTGGTTTTCTCAGAGCCCTGAAATCACAATTGTTTGTTTTTTGTTAAAGATAACTATCTTTAATAGTGAAATATTTGCAAAGGGGAAAGAAAATACAACAGACAGAACGGCATGAATAAATTCTATTCCTTTATAAAACGTGTGGGGCCTTTTTTTTGTGGTGACCCACAAGTGGGCTAGCAACTTGTCCTGAGGGAAAGAACTGGTTAACTTGAGATGTTGTCTTCAGCTATATTGCCCTTCTTTTGGGGGGGATTTTAGAAGACCATGGGTAAAAGGCCCACTGTAGTTTGTAAAACATGGTTGCTTAGTATGATACGTAAACAAAATCCATAGTGGCTTATTCAGTAAACCATGGTAAAGCAATTTCCTTCAGAAACAAGTTTCCCATTCCCATTTGAAGGTAATATACAGGAAGTATTCGACTTTGTTTGTTTAGTGACCATTCAGAATAACAAGGGCACTGAAATAAGTGACTTATGACCATTTTTCACAATTATGATTCTTGCACCAGGGTCACACAATCAAAATTCAGATGTTTGGCAACTGGTTCCTAATAATAATAATAATAATAATAATAATAATAATAAAGTTGGAAGGGACCTTGGAGGTCATTAGTCCAACCCCCTGTCAGGCAGGAAAGCCTATACCATTTCAGACAAATGGCTTTCCAGTCTCTTCTTAAAAACTTCCAGTGTTGGAGCATTCACCATTCTGGAGGCAGGTTGTTCCACTGGTTAATTGTTCTCACTGTCAGGAAGTTTCTCCTTAGTTCTAGGTTGCTTCTCTCCTTGATTGGTTTCCCCTCCGTTGCTTCTTGTCCTGCCTTCAGGTGCTTTGGAGAATAGCTTGACTCCCTCTTCTTTGGGGCAGCCCCTGAGATACTGAAAGACTGCTATCAACGTCCCCCCTTGTCCTTCTCTTCCTTAAACTAGACATACCCAATTCCAGCAACCGTTCCTTATATGTTTTAGCCTCCAGTCCCGTGATCATCTTTGTTGCTCTTCTCTGCGCTCTTTCTAGTTCCCTCCTTGAAATAGGTTTCCCCTGCCCAGGTGTGTCTGACTTTAGGGAGGGGGGTGCTAATCTCCATTTCTTGGTTAAGGGAGCCAGTGTGATTGGCATGACTATACCAAAGTGGTACCTATTAATCTAGTCGCATTTGCATGCTTCCGAACTGTTAGGTGGGCAGGGAACAGGCGTTCACCCTGTTGCGTGGTGCTCGGATCGGGAACCCGGGTTGTAAGTACCTTGTACAAATTCCTGTACCTATTTAGGCTGTACATATTCAGTTTTTCTATCACCATGGGAGCTTAACAGGTAGACACCGTGTATGCTGCAACTTCTCCCAATCTGGGATCCTCCAAATAAATGGGATTACAGCTCCCATCAGAGCAAAAAAAGAGGGGGTCAAGCTATTCTCCAAAGCACAAGAAGCAAAGGATGGAAACTCATCAAGGAGAGAAGAAACCTAGAACTAAGGAGAAATTTCCTGACAGTGAGAACAAATTAATCCGTGGAACCACCTGCCTCCAGAGGCATTGAATGCTTCAACAGTGGAAGTCTTTAAGAAGAGACTGGAAAGCCATTGGTCTGAAATGGTATAGGGTTTCCTGCCTGAGCAAGGGGTTGGACTAGAAGATCTCCAGGATCCTTTCCAATTCTGTTATTCTGTTACCATCTCCAGGACTGTGGACTGCATGATATTACTGTATAGGACAGGGGTAGGCAACCTTGGCTCTTTTATGACTGGTGGACTTCAACTCCCAGAATTCCTGAGCTTGGAAACCTCTCCATTTCTCCTCAGCATGGCTGGCTCAGGAATTCTGGGATTTGAAGTCCACCAGTCATAAAGAAGCCATAGTTCCCCCATGCTGGCTCAGGAATTCTGGGAGTTGAAATCCACAAGTCATAAAAGAGCCAAGGTTGCCTACCCCTGGCCTAGGCCACTTTATGATTCGTGGACTTCAACTCCCAGAATTCCTGAGCCAGCACAGCTCAGCTTGGAAACCTCTCCATTTCTCCTCAGCATGGCTGGCTCAGGAATTCTGGGAGTTGAGGTCCACCAGTCATAAAGGAGCCATAGTTCCCCCATGCTGGCTCAGGAATTCTGGGAGTTGAAGTCCAGGAGTCATAAAAGAGCCAAGGTTGCCTACCCGTGTTCTAGTCCAACCCCCTGCTCAGGCAGGAAACCCTAGGCCAGGGGTAGACAACCTTGGCCCTTTTATGACTTGTGGACTTCAACTCCCAGAATTCCTGAGCCAGCCTGGCTCAGCTTAAAAACCTCTCCCTTTCCCCTCAGCATGGCTGGCTCAGGAATTCTGGGAGCTGAAGTCCACCAGTCATAAAAGAGCCAAGGTTGCCTACCCCTGGTATAGCACATCCTTTCTGAGAGGAGAGCTTGTTCTCCTCTAGAAAATATTGGTGATTTCCTCAGTCAGAATCACCCGTGTTCCTGCTCCAGGTTTCCCCCTTCTTCTGTGCTTGATCTGAATAAACCAGGTTGTGCTCAAATGTTCCAATATGCTTCTCTCTGCAGCCATGTTCATTCTGACAGATGCAATGTAATTAGGAGACCTAAATGGCACGAAGTGTGGCTTCAGCCCTCTCTGGTGAGTGTGAGTTTCTGCTGCCAGATGCTTTCAATTTAATCTGACCTCCTCTTCCCCCCCCCCCCACAGACACACTGAGATGCCTGTTCACCATCTAATCAGACAGCAAAATTTTTAGAGGCCTTGGCAGCCAAACGCTAGATCACGGCCGGTTGTAATATCCTGTGGTGTGATTATGACACCATTCTGCAGCACTGGGCATGCTTCTCTCTTCCCCTTTTATCGCGTGCTTAAATCAGCAAGTTCGGACAGATTAGGAGTAGCTAATACCACTCCTACTACTCAGTGAAAGAGTCCCGCGGGAGGGGCGCAGAGGAGACGCCGGTCGGCTAGTAGCCGTGGGAAGCTGTCCAGGGTCCTGAAATTAATCTGTCCACCTGGGAAGACAGTTTCCAGATACTTTTGTTACTTCTAATCGCGGGAGAGCAGAGTAAAAGAGTGGGGAGGCACCTTGGAGGTCATCTAGTCCAACCCCCTGCTCAAGCAGGAGACCCTATATGATTTCAAGACAAGTAATTGTCCAATCTCTTCTAATAAAACCTCCAGTGTTGGAGCACCCACAACTTCTGGAGGCAGGTTGTTCCACTGACTAATTGTTCTCACTGTCGGGAAATTTCTCCTTAGTTCTAGGTTGCTTCTCTCCTTGGTTAGTTTCCCTCCGTTGTTTCCTGTCCTGCCTTCAGGGACTTTGGAAATTAGGTTGACCTGCTCTTCCTGGCTCAATAGTATTAACTGCGAGAGGGATCCTGGAGTCCTAGTGGACAATCATTTGAATATCAGCCAGCTGTGTGCTGCAACTGCCAAAAAAGCCAACAGAGTGCTGGGCGGCATTAACAGAGGGACAGAATCAAGATCACGTGAAGTATTAATATCACTTTACAAGGCCTTGGTAAGGCCACACTTGGAATACGGCATCCAGTTTTGGTCACCGCGATGTAAAAAAGATGTTGAGACTCTAAAAAGAGTACAGACAAGAGCAACAAAGATGATCAGGAGACTGGAGGCTAAAGCATATAAGGAACAGTTGCTGGAATTGCGTATGTCTAGTTTAACGAAGACGAGGGGTGACATGATAGCAGAGTTCCAGTATTTCAGGGGCTGCCCCAAAGAAGAGGGAGCTATTCTCCAAAGCGTCTGAAGGCAGGACAAGAAGTAACGGATGGAAACTAATCAAAGAGAGAAGCAACCTAGAACTAAGGAGAAACTTCCTGACAGTGAGAACAATTAACCAGTGGAACAACCTGCCTCCAGAAGCTGTGAATGCTCCAACACTGGAACTTTTTAAGAAGAGACTGGACAGCCATTTGTCTGAAGTGGTATAGGGTTTCCTGCTTGAGCAGCGGGTTGGACTTGATGACCTTCAAGGTCCCTTCCAACTCTGTTATTCTTTGTGGCAATCCCTCAGATATTGGAAGACTGCTACCATGTTACATCTTGTCCTAGTTTTCATTAAACTAGAGATAGCTTGACTCCCTCTTCTCTGGGGCAACCACTGAGATATTGGAAGACTGCTACCATGTCCCCCCTCGTCCTTCTCTTCCTTAAACTAGACGTACCCAATTCCAGCAACCGTCCTTCATATGTTTTATCCTTCAGTCCCTGAATCATCCTTGTTGCTCTTCTCTGCACTCTTTCTAGAGTCTCAACAACCTTTTTATATTGTGGTGAGCAAAAGCACCCACATTTCTTTCCACTTTCCAGATCACGGTGGAGAGCAGCACTGAGCTGTCTTTGGAAAACCCCTCTCAAAACTGATCAGGATACGTATGATTGTAGGAAATGATGAGAAGGAATGTGTATATTTAATGTGACATGTATTAACTGCAGCCAGGAATTGTATTTGCTCAACATTGGAAAGATGAAGAGATAATTAAGAAGATTTTAGATGGTGCAGAAATGGACAGACTGATGCTGAAAATGAAAGAGATTCAGAACGGGGGTCATCAACCTTGGCAACTTTAAGACTTGTGGACTTCAACTCCCAGAATTCAACTCCTTGCTGGCTGAGGAATTCTGGGAGTTGAAGTCCACAAGTCTTAAAGTTGCCAAGGTTGGCGACCTGTTTTAGAACATGGGATACATTTTCTCAATGGCTAGAAAAAGAAGGTAGAGAGAAAAGAGTTTAACATGTATTAGTAAACTAAACATTGGAACCCAGACAATATGTTGCTGATAAAATATGAAGCATGTGTGACTATAAAAAATAATAAAATATCGAACAACAACAACAACAAAAACCAACCCTGATCAGGATCACCCCAAGCTGAGAGGCTATCTGAAAACCTCAGAAGTGTAGATTAGTTTGGGAAGTTGGGAAAAAACTTCCTTAGAAGAAGACTATGGGAAAGCATTTCCGTGTTGTTGCCAAGAAGACTCCTTATAACTATCATAAAAGTGGCCAATAATCAAACTAATTGTTGAGAGCGAAGATAGTTTTATGGTTCCTTTTTTTTTTGATAAGCTTCTCTTCTTTCACGTTGAAAGAGAAAATTACTATTGTTAGTTTTACATAATTATCACTATCACAAGACAAGAAAAAGGACTGAGAATCAATTGGTGGGGGCAAAAATGCTGGAAAGCATCGTCTCAAATTATATTTGAGGCAAAATCCCCCCCCCCATGGTCTCCTCTAGCATCTGTTGCAACAAAAAGACTTGGCTGCTGATTCCACCATGGAAGATCAAACTTTGAATGATTTCCTTTGGATTTATTTCTTCCTTAATATCCATGCAAGCATTTTTTCCCTCACACCCTTTTTTTTTGTGCATCTAGCTAAAACATACAAGAAACAATTGCTGGAATTGGGGATGTCCAGTTTAATGAAGAGAAGGACGAGCAGGGACAGGATAGCAGTTTTCCAATATCTCAGGGGCTGCCCCAAAGAAGAGGGAGTCAAGTTATTTTCCAAGGCACCTGAAGGCAGGACAAAAAGCGAAGGATGGAAACTAATCAAGGAGAGAAGCAACCTGGAACTAAGGAGAAACTTCCTGACAGTGAGAACAATTAATCAGTGGAACTACCTGCCTCCAGAAATGGTGAATGCTCCAACACTGGAAGTTTTTAAGAAGAGACTGGACAGCCATTTCTCAGAAATGGTATAGGGTTTCCTGCCTGAGCAGAGGGTTGGACTAGATGACCTCCAACGCTGTTGTAAACGTTGTTAACATCGGATGTTTTTGCTTTGACAGCAGATGGAGATGCAACCCTTTTCTTCTTATGTTTTAGAGTTAGAGCTAGAGTTAGATGATACTGGGGGAAGGAATGTGCATGAGAGTTTAGCTAGACATAACAATACTGGACCTAGTGTGTGACCCAAGGTTATTGTAATAAGAGATGATAAGGATTGGCGGACTGGAAGTCTGGAGGGAAAGCCTGCATTTCAATCTTATTATTATTATGGATCATCGCACAGTCAGCCAGATGTTCAGACTGGATTTGGCATTTTGTCTACCTTTCGAGTCCTTACCAAGGACCTGGAATAGGCAGATGTGGATGTTTGATGGTATTACAGATCTCATCACAGGATGGAAGCAGTTCCTAGTAAGGCCGCCTTTTGCAATTGACTAATGGCGAATGTGTCAATGCTGATGATGGTGTTCAAGTGGTGCTCCAGCTGTTTTGGGATTGCACCCAAGGCGCCTATTACTATTGGTACTACCCTTGCTTGCGTCATCATCATCATCATCATCTTCTTCTTCTTCTTCTTCTTCTTCTTCTTCTTCTTCTTCTTCTTCTTCTTCTTCTTCTTCTTCTTCTCCTCCTCCTCCACCTCCACCTCCTCCTCCTCCTCCTCCTCCTCCTCCTCCTCCTCCTCCTCCTCCTCTTCTTCTTCTTCTTCTTCTTCTTCTTCTTCTTCTTCTTCTTCTTCTGATCTTTCCCTCAACTTCCCATCTTGCTGGCAGTGGCACGTAGGGCAACAGACCAAGGAGCTCGGAGACAATAGCCCTTGGCTGCCAGCTTCTCTCCTCCCTGATGTGTGTACAGGTAGTCCTCCACCTATGACAAGGGAGCCCCCTTTTTTTTATTGCTGAGACAGATGTTAAGGAGGTTTACACCGTTTTGCAACCTTTTTTGCTACAGTTGTTAAGAGAATTGCTGCAGTTGTTAGATTAGCTGTTCAGTGAATCTGGTTTTGCTGGTCAGAAGGATGCAAAAGGGGATCACACGACCCCAGGACACTGCGGCCGTCATAAATAGGAGCCAGTAAGATAATAATTGGTGTAATAATATGTTTATCTTAGATATGATAGTTAATTTGGTTGAGAGTTAAATTTTACTTAACAGGCTGAAATGATTCTTTTTGTTTTTTTTTTTTTTTTACTCTGATAATATACAAAACTATTTTGTAATAGCAGTAGACTTAGAGAGATCTACGATAAGAGAAGAAAGGGTATTATTGAATGATGTATTAAATTAAGAGATGGAATATATGTGAAAACATGAGAATGTTATTCTTGGAATATTATGTGTGTTGTAGAAGGGATACCCAAAATGTTATTAATATGTTTGTTTAAGATCAATTGGAATATTTTAATTGAAATGAGTGAAGCTTAAAAGCAGGAGTGATTTATGTAGATGGAATAGTAGGGATGCTTCCGTGGATTGATTGAATTTTAAGAAGAAATAGATTAAACTAAATTTGTTATATCATGTGAGGAAATAGAGGGGGGAATTTTTTTTAAGGTATTAATTTTAGTTATATATATATATGTGACTTGTTTTATTATGATTGATTACCCTTTCACCATGGTGTTTTCCAGAGCACTTTAATGTTAAAATTAAAAAACCAATAAAATGTATATTAAAAATAAATAAATAAATAGGAGCCAGTTGACAAGTGTCTGAATTTTGATCACGTGAGTGGGGCGGATGCTGCAATGGTGTCCACACTGCTAACATCGGATGTTCTCGCTTTGACAACATATGGAGATGCAGCCTTTTTCTTTCTCGTGCTTTACTCTTAGACTTAGATGATGCTGGGGGAGGAGGAGGAGGAGGAATGTAATGGGAGTGAGTTAGACATAACAATCTTGTAATAGTGTGTGAATTCAGGGCTTTTGAAATAAGAGATGATAAGGAATGGCGGGTTGGAGAACAGGAGGGAAAGCATGCATTTCAAACTAATTGGAGAATGTGATTTATGACTGTTAATTGGATGAGGGAATTGTGTTTGATACTGTGTGCTAAGGCGAGGGGAATCCAGATTTTGGCTTCAACTATGTACGTGCCAAAGCTATGCTACTCTAATAAATATTCTTTAAGGTAAACAATGCCTCAAAGTTCTTTGAAGAGTTTCATCTGTCGGAACCAGGACAACCGTCCGAAGTGTGGAAAATGGTCGTAAATCACTTTTTTTCAATGCCATTGTAACTTCCAACAGTCACTAAATGAATGGATGTAAGTGGAGGACTATCTATGTAATAAAGCTGCAGTTATTCTTGGAGCAATCTGTCTTCTGCGAGCGGATAATGTTACTGCTGCTGCTGCTAGTAAATGGAGGACTGTAAGAAGCGAACTGTGCATAATGTGTGCCAAGACAATCTCATTTGTTCCAGGGATGGAAGGGAGAGACGCTGTCGCATTTATCTCACTGTCCCTTGATGGAGCTGCTGGCTCCGTTCCATTCATTGATAGCAGTTGATCTCTCAATCTGTTGCAACTTTATCATGTGACTCTGCTTAGGCAATGTAGTATCTGGAGCCCCTACAGTGCCTGCAGACAGCCCCCTTCTGCCTACCTGACTTTAAAAAAATATTCATTTGGGTTTCAAAAGTTCTTTTTAAAGAAAGAGAGAGACGAAGGAAGGAAGAAAGGAAGGAAAGAAAGAAGAGGGAGGGAGGGAAAAAGAAAGGAAGGGGAAGAAAGAAAGAAAGAAAGAAAGAAAGAAAGAAAGAAAGAAAGAAAGAAAGGAAGGAAGGAAGGAAGGAAGGAAGGAAAAGGAAGGAAGGAAATGGAAGGAAAGAAAGAAGGAAAGAAAGAAAGAAAGAAAGAAAGAAAGAAAGAAAGAAAGAAAGAGGGAGGGAGGGAGGGAGGGGAGGCAGGGAGGGTGGAAGGGGAGGGAAGGAAGAAAGAAAAAGAAAGAAAGGAAGGAAGGAAGGAAAAGGAAGGAAATGGAAGGAAAAGGAAGGAAAGAAAGAAAAGAAAAGGAAAGAAAGAAAGAAGGAAGGGAGAGAGGAAGGAAGGAAGGGAAGGGAGGGAAGGAGGAAAAGGAAGGAAAAGGGGGAGGAAGGAAGGGGAATGAAGGAAAAGAAGAAAAGAATGAGGAGGGAGGGAAGAGGAAGAAGGACAAAAAAAAGAAGAAAGAGGGAGGGAGGCAGGGGGGCGGGAGGGGAGGGAAGGAAGGAAGGAAGGAAGGAAGGAAGGAAGGAAGGAAGGAAGGAAGGAAAAAAGAAAGAGGGAGGGAGGGAGGGCAGAAGGGGAGGGAAGGAAGAAAGGAAGGGGAAGGAAGGAAGAAAGAAAAAGAAAGGAAGGAAGGAAGGAAGGAAAAGGAAAGAAGGAAGGAAGGAAGGAAAGAAAGAAAGAAAGAAAGAAAGAAAGAAAGAAAGAAAGAAAGAAAGAAAGAAAGAAAGAAAGAAAGAAAGAGGGAGGGAGGCAGGGAGGGCGGAAGGGGAGGGAGGGAAGGAAGGAAGGAAGGAAAGAAAGAAGGAAAGAAAGAAAGAAAGAAAGAAAGAAAGAAAGAAAGAAAGAACAGGAAGGTGGTCTGTTGTTAAACAAATCACCAGCTTACTAAGGAAACTATTTTGTGGATGTGCCCAACCCATGCTGTTTAATATCCGAACGGTCGCTCAACGAACGATTGTAAGTCAAGGACTCGCAATGTTGTGGCTTTTTAGGACTGAAATTTGAACTGGTGACTGATTTATTTGAGTTGGTAATCAAAGAAGCATCATCTGCTTTAGGCAAAGTAGAAAAGAGATTTGGGTAGAAGAAATATACATTACCTTTCCGTTGGGTAAAAGCCTCCGTACGTCCACTTGATCCAGATGCCAGCCTGAATTGATCCCCGAGCCGTCATGCCCAATGCGGATCTTCTCAAGGATGTCTCCAATGTCTTCTAGCTGAAGAAATTTAGGGGGGAAAAAAAGGGGTTATGGAATTACCTGAAGCAAATGGCAAATATAGCATGAATGCATGCAATGCACAAAAACAACACATAAAATGCTTAGGGGACAATAACAAAGAGGATCAGGGGACTGGAGGCTAAAGCATATAAGGAACGGTTGCTGGAATTGGGTAGGTCTAGTTTGAAGAGAAGGATGAGGGGGGACAGGATAGTCGTCCTCTTGTATCTCAGGGGCTGATAGAATAGAACAGAAGCTGAAAGGGACCTTGGAGGTCTTCTAGTCCAGCCCCCCGCTCAAGCAGGAGAACCTATACCATTTCAGACAAATGGCTGTCCAATCTCTTCTTAAAAACCTCCAGTGATGGAGCGCCCACAATTTCTGGTGGCAAGCTGTTCCACTAGTTAATTGTCCTCATTGTCAGAAAGTTTCTCCTTAATTCCAGGTTGCTTCTCTCTTTGTTCAGTTTCCATCCATTGCTTCTTGTCCTGCCCTTTGTATATTCTTACAAACAAGGTTACATTGATTTGTTTTCTTTTGTTTTTCATTTCCTCCTCTCCATATTTCATATTTGTCTACTCCTGGTGATAGGTAACAAATCAAACTGAGAGAGAGAGAGAGAGAGAGAGAGAGAGAGAGAGAGAGAGAGAGAGAGAGAGAGAGAGAGAGAGAGGGAGGGAGGGAGGGAGAGATCTAGAACACAATGGCACCAGTATTAATAAATGTTCAAACACCCTCTGCTAAAATAAACTGGGAACAAAAACTCAATTATCTATGTGTCTACATTTTATACGATCAGGGTTTTCTTTAAAAACAAAAAAAGAGTCACACCAACTAGCAACGAGCTTCCAAAAATTTAGAGATGTCTTCAAATACAAAGAGTGCATCAGTGATTATGAGATGGTGTTGCCAACAGCTCTGCTATGACAAAACTAGCAGCAAAAGACACACACACACACACACACACACACACACACAAACAAAAAAAAAAAAAACACAGCATTTGGTTCGCAATTCTGTTCACATTCTCAGAAAAGACTGGAGGAAGCTGAGGACTAGGGCCATGAGATCAGCTTCAAAAGTTTGCTTTCTGGAGAGCTGATGTCTTGTGTGCTCCATCCCCAAAGCAAGTTATACATCCCCATAACAAGCTCTCAAAATTCCAAATACGATCCCTGCCCCCCCCAAAAGAATATCCCTGTTTTACACCATGTACCATTTTATAATAATTGCTCTCTTCATTTGATTTATTTCTACGCTCAGTACCATCCCCCAAAATGCTAGGCCTGGAGACCAAAACGTATGAAGAACGGCTGCGGGACTTGGATTTGGCTAGTCTAAAGAAATAGGGGAGACATGATAGCAGAATTCCGGTATTTGAGGGGCTGCCACAAAGGAGAGGAGGGGGTCAAACTAGTCTCCAAAGCGCCTGAAGGCAGGACAAGAAACAACGGATGGAAACTGATCAGAGAGAGAAGCAACCTGGAATTAAGGAGAAACTTCCTGACAGGGAGGACAATTAACCAGTGGAACAGCTTGCCACCAGAAATCGTGGGTGCTCCATCCCTGGAGGTTTTTAAGAAGAGACAAGACAGTCACTTGTCTGAGATGGTAGAGAGTCTTCTGCTTGAGCAGGGGGCTGGACTAGAAGACCTCCAAAGTCCCTTCCAGTTCTATTCTATTCTATTCTATTCTATTCTATTCTATTCTATTCTATTCTATTCTATTCTATTCTATTCTATATTTTCTTTTCTTTTCTTTTCTGTTCTATTCTATTCTATTCTATCCTATCCTATTCTATTCTATATTTTCTTTTCTTTTCTGTTCTATTCTATTCTATTCTATTCTATTCTATTCTATATTTTCTTTTCTGTTCTATTCTATTCTATTCTATTCTCTTTTTTTCTGTTCTGTTCTATTCTATTCTACTATTATATATTCTATTCTATTCTATTCTATTCTATTCTATTCTATTCTATTCTATTCTATTCTATTCTATATTTTCTTTTCTTTTCTTTTCTGTTCTATTCTATTCTATTCTATCCTATCCTATTCTATTCTATATTTTCTTTTCTATTCTATTCTATTCTATTCTATTCTATTCTATTCTATTCTATTCTATTCTATTCTATTCTATTCTATTCTATTCTATTCCATTCCATTCCATTCCATTCCACTCCACTCCACTCCACTCCACTCCACTCCACTCCACTCTACTCTACTCTACTCTACTCTACTCTACTCTACTCTACTCTACTCTATACTCCATTCCACTCCATTCCACTGCACTCCCATTCCATTCCATTCTATTCTATTTTCCAAAGCTCCTGAAGGCAAGAAAAAAAAACAATGGATGGAAACAAATCAAAGAGCGGTCCAAGTTAGAACTAAGGAGAAATTTCCTAGCATGGAGGACAATCAACCAATGGAACAGCTTGCCACCAGAAATCATGGGTGCTCCACCTTTTTAAGAAGAGACTGGACAATCACTTGTCTGAGATGGTGTAGGTTCTCCTGCTTGAGCAGGGGGCTGGACTAGGAGACCTCCAAGGTCCCTTCCAACTCTTGTTATTCTCTTCTGTTCTGACCATGTCTTGCAATCTAGCTCCTTCTGGTCCTTCTTCATCTCTTCCACCTGGTTCCCAAGTTGCTGGAAGCATCCAAAGCACCTTTTCTCTTACCTCCACAACGAACTGATTTATAGAATTCCTCTTGAAGAACATCCTTTGTTCCCTCTTGTTTTGGCACAAGGATTTCTGCTGAGTGCAAACACCGTCAGCCCCGTACAGAACGATAAAGACGTCAGCGTCGGTTCCTGCTCCAAAAACGTCACTGGTGTAAACCGTGATTTCGTAGGGAACAACTGGCCAGATGAAAACAAAACAAAACGGATGATATCAGAAGGATGTGTTTGCTATTCTTCATGACCAACATTACACCAATCGCCAATAAAGTACATTTAACCAGGGTTGAGAATCCTGATTCAGTTATGACAGGCGTCTTCAAACCTGTCCCTTTTATGACTGGTGGACTTCGACTCCCAGAATTCCTCAGTCAGCCATTTTGATGAAACTGCAGGCTGGGATCCAGATCAGGGATCTTCCAACTTGGCCCTTTTATGACTGGTGGACTTCAACTCCCAGGATTCCTCAGTCAGTCATTTTGATGAAACTGCGGGCTGGGATCCAGACCAGTTGGCCCTTTTATGACTGGTGGACTTCAACTGCCAGAATTCCTCAGCCAGGCACCCTGGCTGAGGAATTCTGGGAGTTGAAGTCCACCAGTTATAAAAGGGCCAAGTTTGAAGACCCATGCCTTAGATCCATCCTCCATTCTGGTTTCTTCTATCTTAGTTTTGTGTAATGGTGTATATTCCTGGCTGGAGGGGCATCAGCTGCCAGTTGCTCTATTAAGCAAAAGTCCTCTCTTTTATCTCAGCTATTTAAAAAAAGAAGATTTTGATACTTTAGTCTTTGGGAGTAAACCAAGATGGATTTTCTCTGAAGTAAAGTCTATTAAATAGAACAGAGGTCTTCCAACTTGGCCCTTTGATGACTTGTGGACTTCAACTCCCAGAATTCCTCAGCCAGCATGCCTGGCTGAGGAATTCTGGGAGTTGAAGTCCACCAGTCATCAAAGGGCCAAGTTGGAAGACCCCTGAGTTATGACACGCTCTGATCTGCGCATACAAGTTGCCAAGTTTGGGACGAATCCCTATGGCTGGCAGAAATCTACACCAATTAGTAAGCAAGCGGTTTCCTGCTTTTCTAATATCGACAGTCCTCAACTTACAGTCACGATGGAACCCAAATTTACTGTTGCTAAGCGTTAAGTGAATTTTGCCCCGTTTTTTTGCAACCTTGCTGAAGTGAGTCCCTGCAGTTGTTCAGGGAATCATTTGGTCATTAAGTGAATCTGGCTTCCCTCATTCATTGCCTTTGCTTGTCAGAAGGTCAGAAAAAGGGATCACATGACCCCGGGACACTGCAACCGTCATAAATAGGAGTCAGTGTCCAAGCCTCTGAATTTGTGACCATGGGGATGCCGCAACTGTCATCTGTGTGAAAAAGGTCAGTCAGTCCCTTTTTCCAGTTGCCGTCGTAACTTTGAACGGTCACTAAATGAACTGTTGTAAGTTGAGGACTTACCTGCACCTGTATTTCTGTCAGACCTAAAGCAGGTTGATTTGCTACCCTACTACTCACATGGGAGGTAAGTCCTTCTTTGCAGTTCTGCAGGAAACAAGATTCTTTCAATCGCTCCGTCATCTTCGGCTTTATCCAGCCAACGACCACACGGAAACTTCAGGCACAATCCAAGGCAGGGGGCATCCACCTCCACCCAGTCTAAAAACCATCCCTCAGAATGACCTGTAAAGAATAACAGAATAAAACAGAGTTGGAAGGGACCTTGGAGGTCATCTAGTCCAGCCCCCTGCTCAGGCAGGAAAGCCTAGACCATTTCAGACAAATGGCTGTCCAGTCTCTTCTAAAAGACTTCCAGTGTTGGAGAAGAGAGGGAGGGAGAGAGAGAGGGAGGGAGGAAAGAAGGAAGGGAGGGAGGGAGGGAGGGAGGGAGAGAGGAAGGAAGGGAGGGAGGGAGGGAGGAAGGAAGGAAGGAAGGAAGGAAGGAAGGAAGGAAGGAAGGAAGGAAGAAAGGAAGGACAACAGAATAACAGAATTGGAGGGGACCTTGGAGGTCATCTAGTCCAACCCCTTGCTCAGGCAGGAAACCCTAGACCATTTCAGACAAATGGCTGTCCAGTCTTTTCTTAAAAACTTCCAGTGTTGGAGAAGGGAGGGAGGGAGGAAAGAAGGACGGAAGGAAGGGAGGGAGGGAGGGAGGGAGAGAGGAAGGGAGGGAGGGGGAGGGAGGAAGGAAAGGAGGGAGGGAGGGAGAGAGGAGGGAGGAAGGGAAGGAGGAGGAGGAAGGGAGGGAGGGAGAGAGGAAGGGGGAGGGAGGGAGGGAGGAAGGAAGGAAGGAAGGAAGGAAGGAAGGAAGGAAGGAAGGAAGGAAGGAAGGAAGGAAGGAAGGAAGGCAACAGAATAACAGAATTGGAGGGGACCTTAGAGGTCATCTAGTCCAACCCCTTGCTCAGGCAGGAAACCCTAGACCATTTCAGACAAATGGCTGTCCAGTCTTTTCTTAAAAACTTCCAGTGTTGGAGAAGGGAGGGAAGGAGAGAGAGAGGGAGGGAGGAAAGAAGGACGGAAGGAAGGGAGGGAGGGAGGGAGAGAGGAAGGGAGGGAGGGAGGAAGGAAGGGCAGGAGGGAGGGAGGGAGGAAGGAAGGAAGGGAGGAAGGGAGGGAGGGAGGGAGAGAGGAAGGAAGGGAGGGAGGGAGGAAGGAAGGAAGGAAGGACAACAGAATAACAGAATTGGAGGGGACCTTGGAGGTCATCTAGTCCAACCCCCTGCTCAGGCAGGAAACCCTAGACCATTTCAGAAAAATGGCTGTCCAGTCTTTTCTTAAAAACTTCCAGTGTTGGAGAAGGGAGGGAGGGAGGGAGGGAGGAAGTGGCACTGATCCTGGCGCTTCCACTGAGCCCTGACAGCCCTGCAGCTCCAGCCGTCTCTCGCTCAGGCTTGTGCGGTGCTTCCCCCGGTTCAGCCCATTCCCCTCCCCTGCTACCCCTTTTCTAGGATGGTCGCGTACCCTCTTCCAGGTGCCCATGTACCACAGGTGGTACCCGTACCACTGGTTGAAAAGCCCTGCTCTATAACTTCCAGGCTTAACCTCTACGCGTGGGGAAGTAATGTTTTGATATCCAGGTAAGTGTTTCGTTTGCAAAAGGAGAGAGACAGAGGCGTAACTATTAAGCTATCGGTCCATCCTACCTGTCTCCGTGGACTTTCACGCCATCCTACCTGTATTATCATGGCCAATCTTAATCTTCTTCAGATCTCCCAGGTCCACACATTCCACTGTAAAGACGTCGACTTTATCTCGCTCAAATTTGGTCCGGTTCGTCTTAGAAGCCTTCAAGAAGATTGTTCCTATTTTTGTTTAAATCACAGATTCCCATTGTTACAAATGAAAATAACTTGGAACGGGGCTAGTAATACCACATTTGGGCATCTACAAAGCAGCTGTCCATTTAGGGCCTGTCCAGATTGCTGTCTGTTACCTTAGAACAGGGGTCCCCAACCTGTGGGCTGTGGCCCGTTACGAGTCACGGCCTGCTAGCCACTGGATCACGGCAAGAGGATCACGGCTTTCCTAGCACTGGTGCACGGCGTGCGGCTCTCCTAGCACTGGCGAGAGGCTCGTGGCTTTCCTAGCGCCAGTGCACGACACGCGGCTCTCCTAGTGCCGGCGCAAGGCTCTTGGCACAAGGACAGGGAGTGAGTGCGTACACATGTGTGGGTACACTGGCCAGCCATTCATGCGGGCCAATGGCTAAGAGGTCACAGTCCGGTCGTGGGCTGCAGCTCATACGTTGGGGACCTCTGCCTTAAACCAGTGGCCCACCTCCAGCTGAGTAACGTGCCGAGGTGAGTTTGGCTCCTACCTGTGTCGTCTTTGGATCCATAAAGGACGATAAAGACGTTGGAATCTGTCCCGGCGTTCTTCTTGTCCCCGGTTTTCACTCTTACTGTGAATGTCGTTGAATTAGCTGTTCGAAGAAAAAATCTCTGTTTGGGAGAGGCCATTTCTGAGATATTCCGAATTTTATTTCCCTTTTGGTTCCCCATTTACAGCTTTTTTTGTTGTTGTTTTAATGAAGCAAGGAAGGTTTTCATCAATAGGAGCTTAGGGCTGGAGCCGGGAACCTCTTTATTAGCACTAACTAACTACAGGTCGTCTCTCAACTTATGACCACCGTTGAGCCGCAAATTTCCGTTGCTATGCGAGATGGTTGTAAACGTCGGTTTTGCCCCATTTTTTTGCCACGGTTATTAAGTGAATCAATTATTAAGTTGGTTGTTAAGCGAATCGGGCACCCTCTGTTGATTTTGTTTGTCAGAAGGTCGCAAAAGGGGATCGCGCGAGTCCGGGATGCTGCGACCGTCATAAATAGGATCCAGTGGCCAAATACCTGAATTTTGATCACGTGGCCATGGGGATGTGCAGCGGTCATAAGTGTGAAAAACGGTCACAAGTCACTTTTTTCAGGTACCGTTGTAACTTTCGAATGGTCACTAAATGAATGATTGTAAGCTAAAGACGAGCTATGCTCTTTGATGGCCTGGATTTTTGCCATCGTTTTTTTTTTCATGAGATGCAAAACAAACAATTGTAGTGTAGGTTTCTTGTGATAAAGAGGCTATCCCTCATTGACTCTTCTGTACTAAAATCCAGTCTCCGGTATAAGTAGGCAGGGATAACTCAATGTGTTTGACTCTGTTTAACACTGCTGCTGGGGAGCCCTTTGGAACTTTAAGTGTGTAGAACCTGTAAACTTTACACTTGTTACCTAAGTTACTTATTAGTCCACACCTTGAAGACTTATAGTTCCCCCACCGTGGGTGATCTCTGAGCTTGGTGGTTTTCTTGCATATGTTTCATTACCCAAACTAGGTTTGGTAATCAGCTAGCACTGATGATGTTACCTAGTTGGGTCATGAAACATCTGCAAGAAAATCACCAAGCTCAGAAAGCACCAAGGACCCCACAGTTCTTCCTCCTCCTCCTCCTCCTCCTCCTCCTCCTCCTCCTCCTCCTCCTCCTCCTCCTCCTCCTCTCTGCAACCCCCCCTTCTTCTGCTGCTTTTCTTCTTCTTCTTCTGATGATGATGATGTAGGATAGCTAGATGGCAGGGGGTTGGACTAGATGACCTCCAAGGTTCCTTCCTTCCCTTCTTCTTCTTCTTCTTCTTCTTCTTCTTCTTCTTCTTCTTCTTCTTCTTCTTCTTCTTCTTCTTCTTCTTCTCCTCCTCCTCCTCCTCCTCCTCCTCCTCCTCCTTCTTCTTCTTGTTCTCCTTCTCCTCCTTCTTATTCCTCCTCCTCCCCCCTCCGTCCTTTCACAAACTCTACCTCCTTCTAGCCCCAATGATGTTCCTTAGTTGGGCAATGAAACGTCTGCAAGAAAACCATCCAGCTCAGAGAGCACCAGGGACCCCACAGTTCAACCCTGAGTTACCACTGTTGTCTTCTATCATTTCCCCAACCCCATAAAATAGAGTGGATTCTCCATTTGGTCCTAGCTTCACTCCACAAAACCTTCCTATAATCAGCCTCAATAGTACAAGTCAAATGTTGGCCAAGGACTTGGTTCTAAAATCAGCACATTCCCAAACCACAAATGATGGTTTATTGACGCTTGTGCTAGTCAGCAGGCTCAGCTTCTTCTATGGCATACCAATGGGCCATAGCAAACCTTTCTGTTCCAGGCCGAGGGTCGCGACAGAGCCCGCGTTCTCCGAATCCTTCATCACAAACGCTTCCGCCACGGGGACCAGCTCCCTGGCAATCTGGCCGTCATCCTCTTCGACGGCCAACCATCTCTGGCAGGGGAAATAGTAACTGCAAGGAAAATGTGGTTTAGCATCTGCCCACTCTGCCAGCTCCCGATTCTTGACTGCTTTGTGGAGCAGAAACAGGCCCATTTCAGCAGAAGTGGAAACTTTCAGCAGAACAGGGCTGCCTTCCGTAGAAGGGCTGCCTGTTGTGCAGGTCAGAAGGAGGGCTGAAAAGACATCTGCAGAGCCCTCACATCCTGGACACAAACTGTCTCAACTCCTCCCTTCCAGATGGTGCTCTGGGGGACTCCATTCCATTCCAAATTTTCTTTTCTATTCTGTTCTGTTCTATGTTCTATTCTATTCATATTTCATTCTATTCTATTCTATTCTATTCTATTCCACATTTTCTCTATTCTATTCTATTCTATTCCACATTTTCTCTATTCTATTCTATTCTATTCTATTCTATTCTATTCTATTCCATTCTTTCCCTATTCTATTCTATTCTATTCTATTCTATTCTGTTCTGTTCTGTTCTGTTCTGTTCTATTCTATTCTATTCTATTCTATTCTATTCTATTCCACATTTTCTCTATTCTATTCTATTCTATTCTATTCTACTCTACTCTACTCTACTCTAATCTACTCTATTTTACTCTACTCTATTCTACTCTACTATAACTCTATTCTATTCTAATTAGTTGATAGCATCTTCTTGATAGAATGTACTTGTTAGAATACCAAAACAGGCAAAAATACGCAATTTGTAAGAGCAGAAGCATCTAGAAAGGTCACAGAATTTTAACAATCGAGATTTGTTTTACATTTGGTTCTCATCCTTTCCTGAACAAATGTCAGCTATTTTGAGTTATGGAACTATTGTGGTGGTGGTGGGGTTTTCAGGGCACCTTTGACCAATGAATGTATGCTGAATTTCCACTCCAAAAACAGACAAGAAGACAAGGATAAAATAAAGGAGGACTAAATATATTATCTATTTCTCCTGTAGATTCTGATCTTAAGTCCAACAAAGGGAACATTAAGAGGCTAGCTCAAGGGTAGGCAACATCAGCTCTTTTGTGACTCGTGGACTTCGAATCCCACAATTCCTCAGCCAACACGTCTCAGCTTGGAAACCTCTCCCTTTCCCCTCAGCGTGGCTGGCTCAGGAATTCTGGGAGTTGAAATCCACGAGTCATAAAAGAGCCAAGGTTCCCCAGCCCTGGGCTAGCTGCATGGCTAATTACTCTTAACTCACATGCTTTCCTCTTTGGTGTCAATGATGTCAATTCTTTCCAGGAACCAGGCTGAGTTGCTTCCAGAGTCATCATGGCGAATTCTTAGCTTCTTCAGTTCTCCCAAGTCAATGGCTTTGACAGTGAAGACATCCACCTGCAGTAGCACAAGACAGAGGAGCACAACCTGGTAGTTGGCGGTCTAAAGCTAAAACTGAGGGAGGGAGATGGGTGGCTTAGAAATAGGAGAGAGAGAAAGAGAGAGAGAGAGGGAGATGATAGATAGATAGATAGATAGATAGATAGATAGATAGATAGATAGATAGATAGACGGATGGACAGACAAGATAAATAGATAGATAGATAGATAGATAGATAGATAGATAGATAGATAGATAGATAGATAGATAGATAGATAGATGAGAGATAGATGAGAGAGAGAGACAGAGAGAGACAGACAGACAGACAGATAGATAGACTAGATAGATAGATGTTGTTGTTGTTGTTGTTGTTGTTAATTGCGAAGTCGTGTCCAACCCATCGCGACCCCATGGACAACGTTCCTCCAGGTCTTCCTGTCCTCTGCCATCTTCTGGAGTCCATTTAAATTCATGCCTACTGCTTCAGTGACTCCATCCAGCCATCTCATTCTCTGTCGTCCCCTTCTTCTCTTGCCCTCCATCTTTCCCAGCATTAGGCCCTTCTCCAGTGAGATAGATAGATAGATAGATAGATAGATAGATAGATAGATAGATAGATAGATAGATGAGAGAGAGAGAGAGAGACGGACGGACAGATGGATAGATGGATAGACAGAAAGACAGACAGATAGACAAGATAGATAGATAGATAGATAGATAGATAGATAGATAGATAGATAGATGGATGGATGGATGGATGGATGGATGGATGGATGGATGGATGGATGGATGGATGGATGGAATAATGTATAGATATATAGATAGATAGAGATAGATAAGATAGATAGATAGACAGACAAGATAAATAGATAAGATAGATAGATAGATAGATAGATAGATAGATAGATAGATAGATAGATAGGATGGATGGATGGATGGATGGATGGATGATGGATGGAGAGATAGATAGAATAGATAGATAGGATGATAGATAGATAGATAGATAGATAGATGGATGGATGGATATATATGGATGGATGGATGGATGGATGGATGGATGGATGGATAGATAGATAGATAGATAGATAGATAGATAGATAGATAGATAGATAGATAGATGGATGGACAGACAAGATAGATAGATAGATAGATAGATAGATAGATAGATAGATAGATAGATAGATTGATAGATAGATAGATAGATGAGAGAGAGAGACGGACGGATGGATGGACGGATGGATAGATGGATAGATAGATAGACAGACACAGATAGACAGACTAGATAGATAGATAGATAGATAGATAGATAGATAGACAGACAGACAGATAGATAGATAGGTAGGTAGGTAGGTAAGTAGGTAGGTAGGCAGGCAGGCAGGCAGGCAGGTAGACAGACAGACAGACAGACAGACATAGATAGACAAGATAGATAGATAGATGATAGATGATAGATAGATAGATAGATAGATAGATAGATAGATAGATAGATAGATAGATAGATAGACAGACAGATAGATAGATAGCTTTCTACATGGAGGAAATCCTTTGGAGTTTTGTTATTTGGCTATTTACCTGTTTCTTTTCAAACTTGTTCAGATGATTTGAGTACTTCAGGTGGCGCTCCCCAGTGTCTCCTCTTTCACCATAGATGCTCAAGTAAACATTTGCGTCAGTGCCAGCTCCCCATATCATCCCAGTGATAACATGGACTTCGTAGGTGTTTGCTAGAGAAAAAGTAAATTATTAACATGTCAATCAAGTGGTCCTCAGACTTTTTTTTTTTTTGCTGAAAATCTGATTTTTTTTTTTCATTACAAACCAGTATAACAAGCTGAGAAGCTTGTTTGGTTTACTGATGCTTTACTCTTAATTTCTGATGCTGCTTCCTTTGTTTGAAACCAAAATAGGCTGTGGCTAAGTAAATATGAGCCAGCCATGTGCTGCAGCTGCCAAAAAGGCCCACACAGTGCTGGGCTGCATTAACAGAGGGAGAGAATCAAGATCATGTGAAGTGTTAATACCACTTTACAAGGCCTTGGTAAGGCCACCCTTGGAATACGGCATCCAGTTTTGGTCATCACGAAGTAAAAAAAGATGTTGAGACTCTAGAAAGAGTCCAGAGAAGAGCAACAAAGATGATCAGGGGACTGGAGGCTAAAACATATAAGGAAAAGTTGCTGGAATTGGGTATGTCTAGTTTAATGAAGAGAAGGACGAGTGGGGACAGGATAGCAGTCTTCCAGTATCTCAGGGGCTGCCCCAAAGAAGAGGGAGTCAAGCTATTCTCCAAAGCGCCTGAAGGCAGGACAAGAAGCAACGGATGGAAACTAATCAAGGAGAGAAGCAACCTAGAACTAAGGAGAAACTTCCTGACAGTTAGAACAATTAACCAGTGGAACAACCTGCCTCCAGAAGCGTGAATGCTCCAACACTGGAAGTTTTTAAGAAGAGACTGGACAGCCATTTGTCTGAAATAGTATAGGGTTTCCTGCCTGAGCAGGTGATTGGACTAGATGACCTCCAAAGTCCCTTCCAACATTTATTACTATTATTATGGATCATCGCACAGTCAGCCAGATGTTCAGACTGGATTTGGCATTTTGTCTACCTATCGAGTCCTTACCCAGGACCTGGGAAAGGCAGATGTGGATGTTTGATGGTATTACAGATATGCAGGATGGAAGCAGTTCCCAGTAAGGCCGCCTTTTGCAATTGACTAATGGCGAATTTGTTATGGGAACTGTCTGCTTCAAATCCACACCCGTCCTGGCGTCCTTGACAAGGCTTCAGGCTCCCACTGTCTGCAGCTGAATTGAAGAAGTTTCATTTCTCCATCTACTTAACTAGTGACCGTTTGAAGTTGCAACAGCACTGAAAACCGTGACTTACTACGCAACCATTTTTCACACATAACCACTGTCTCAATTCAATATGCCTTTGGCGGGACAACGGAGGATAACTTAGGCTTTGAATGCAGGCAGATGGACTTTTGGAGGAACTTAACTTAAGGTTAGTCAACTCATCTCTGCCAGCTGCTCTGAGAATGGAGAGAAATATAATATAAGGGTTAGGTTTTTTTTTTCTTTATTCAAGAAAACTCAGTTGTCTGGAAGAATGATCCTAAGGCAATAATATCCCGGACAGTGTTAAATCAGTTTTTGTCACATGGTCTCTTTCAGCTCAGAACTAGGCTGAGTTTAATTTATCAAGAATAACTGTTCGAAGTGTAAACAAAAACCAGACACTTATTATCACATCTGGTGGGTGTGCCCCAGTGCAGAGAAATTCTGGCGTGAGATTTATATATGGCTGGAAAAGATAACTAAAATATACATAGAATTTAGGCCAGAATTGTTTCTGCAAGGAATAATTAGGATCTAATTATGGGAAAGAGAACAAGTATTTAATATCACATAGATTGACAGCTGCAAGAATAGCATTTGCCAATACTGGAAAAATGAAGATATACTATCAGATGAGATTATAATTAGGAAAATTTTAGAATGTGCAGAAATGGATAGATTAACATTAGAGATTAAAGAGAAAGAAGACTCAGTCTATTATAAAACATGGAAAAACTTTTATCAATGGTTAGCAAAATGAGATAATGAAACTGAAATTTGTTAAGATGATTGATTTTTTTTCTTTTGATTAATTGATATGCTTTATAATTTCTGTTACTTTTGTGGACTACAGTTACTGATTGTTATATTAGCCCTGTGGAATACTTGTATCTGGATGATGTCTTGCTTGTTAAACCGTGAAATGTTATTGGGGGCAACCTCATTGGTGTACCCATCCCCACCCTAAATCTTCCCTTGAACCCTACCCTGAACCCCACCACTCATAATTACCTTTGCTTTTTCCCATCTTGAAAAAACTTAATAAAATATTTTTTTTAAAAAAAACAAAGCATACAAGCAAAAAAGGGTAGCATTGTTCTTTGGTTGGAAAAGTTTTTTTAAAAATCTTTCTCAGCCTTTGAAGACTGAACAAGATTAATGATAACAGGCTGTCATCCTAGAGAGATGGGGTTGAATTTATTTACCCTGCCTCCACCCCCCCTTTTTTGTATTTGGGTGGTTTGGAATTACACTTAAAACAAAATAGGGCTATGGTGCCTCGTGCATGTTAATACAGTTCTTTTCATCTCTTTTTTTTTTGCCTGTCATTAAAAAGGCCAGAAGGAGTCACCAAAAATCACAGCTTTCATGCCAAATTTGAGTAGTGAGTCCTTACAGAGGTCCCAATAGCTATCGAAGCAGGTTTAGAGAGTTGTATGTTCATAGAACATAGAATAATAGATTTGGAAGGGACCTTGGAGGTCATCTAGTCCAACCCTCTGCTCAGGCAGGAGACCCTATACCAATCTGGACAAGTGGTTGTCCAGTCTCTTCTTAAAATCCTCCAGTGTTGAAGCACCCACAACGTCTGGAAACAATCCCTCCCACGGATTAATTGTTCTCAATGTCGCGTAATTTCTCCTTAATTCTAGCTCGTTTTTTCTTTAATGGCCTTTTATTCTTTTTATTCCTTGTTTGCAGCTTTTCAAATATTCCAGTATTTGAGATGCTGCTACAAGGAGGAGAGAGTCAAGCTGTTCTCCAAAGCGCCTGAAGGCAGGACAAGAAGCAACGGAGGGAAACTCATCAAGGAGAGAAGCAACCTGGAACTAAGGAGAAACTTCCTGACAGTTAGAACAATTAATCAGTGGAACAACCTGCCTCCAGAAGCGATGAATGCTCCAACACTGGAAGTTTTTAAGAAGAGACTGGACAGCCATTTGTCTGAAATGGTACAGGTTCTCCTGCTTGAGAAGGGGGCTGGACTAGAAGACCTCCAAGGTCCCTTCCAATTCTGTTATTCTATTCTATTCTATTCTATTCTATTCTATTCTGTTCTGTTCTGTTCTGTTCTGTTCTATTTCTATTCTATTCTACATTCCATTATTCTATTCTATTCTATTCTATTCTATTCTATTCTATTCTATTCTATTATTTTCTGTTCCGTTGCATTCCATATATTCTATTCTATTCTATTCTGTTCTGTTCTGTTCTGTTCTGTTCTATTTCTATTCTATTCTATTCTACATTCCATTATTCTATTCTATTCTATTCTATTCTATTCTATTCTATTCTATTCTATTCTATTCTATTCTATTCTATTCTACTCTACTCTACTCTACTCTACTCTACTCTACTCTACTCCACTCCATTCCATTCCATTCTATTATTTTCTGTTCCGTTCCATTCCATTCCACTCTATTCTATTCTAGTCCAGTCCATGTTTTCTATTCTATTCTATTCTATTCTATTCTATTCTATTCTATTCTATTCTATTCTATTCTATTCTATTCTATTCTATTCTATTCTACTCTATTCTATTCTATTCTACTCTATTCTATTCCATGTATTCCATTCCATTCCATATTTTTTTATTTTATTCGGTTCTATTCTGTTCTGTTCTGTTCTGTTCTAATCATCATCATCCTTTTGCCCCTTAATCCTACCCCAACACCAACAACGGAAACCAAAGAATCCATTCTTTTTCTTTGCCCCCTCTCCTTGGGCTTTGAGGACCACAAAAAGCGATACCAGGCAGACCATACATTTTGCACCACGACCCTAAAGGAACTTTCCCTAGCACGGTCCTTTCCAAACGCATTCGATTTCAGTTCTCTGAACTGAACAGTTAAAGGACACCTCCGTAAAGCTGGTTATGCTAGAACATGGTCACAAAAGTATAGACAATGATGGTTCCCCATTCACCTTCAAGCTCAGATGCCTCTTCTGGTGTCAATTCCACAACCAGTTCCTTGTCCTCTTCGTCACTCGCCAGCCAACGGTGGGCTACAAAGTTATAAACCTGCAAAGCATCTGTCTGGTGCGTCTCCTCTTCTTCTTTCTCTTCTGTGGATATCTTTTTCTTCTTTTTCTTCTTTTTTCCTACCCTGCTGGTCTTTGTCCCCATTTTTTTAATGACGACGTTTTCCAGGAACCATCCGTCTGCAAAACCCGCGCCATCGTGGCCAATTCGGATCTTATAGATTCTGCCAACATCAACAGCTTCTATCTTTAAGGGGAGTAATAAATGGGAGCAGTAAAATGTCATTTTTTTTACAAAAAAAAAAGACTGTTGCATGGCACTAATTTCATTAATCCTGATAATAACTGTCAACGCTGCTAACCAGATGTTTTTGCTTTGACAACATATGGAGTTGCAACCATTTTCCATATAAGGAACGATTGCTAGAATTGGGTATGTCTAGTTTAATGAAGGACAAGGGGGGACATGATAGCAGTCTTCCAATATCTCAGGAGCTGCCATAAAGAAGAGGGAATCAAGCTATTTTCCAAAGCGCCTGAAGGCAGGACAAGAAGCAATGGGTGGAAACTAATCAAGGAAAGAAGCAACCTAGAACTAAGGAGAAACTTCCTGACAGTGAGAACAATTAATCAGTGGAATAACCTGCCTCCAGAAGCAGTAAATGCTCCAACACTGGAAGTTTTTAAGAAGAGACTGGACAGCCATTTGTCCGAAATGGTGTAGGGTTTCCTGCCTGAGCAGGGGGTTGGACTAGATGACCTCCAAGGACCCTTCCAACTTTACTACTATTGCTATTACTATTTATGTTTTATTTTTAGAGTTAGATGATGCTGTGGGGGGAGAGGAGTGTGCATGAGAGTTTAGATAGACATAATAATACTGGACTTGGTGTGAGAACCAAAAACTTCCATTTTCTTTTTTTTTTTAATTTTATTTTTAACCAACAAAACAAAACAAAGCAAAACATAACACACATACACACACAGTATATACTCCTCTCCCCTTTTTTTAACAGCAATTACGTAACGGTAATCTTCCATTATTTACATTTCCCCCCTTATTCTTCTTTAGAATATTTGTCCTTATTGCCCCGTTGTTTCTTATTTACCCTTTTCTTCTTTCATATTCTACTTCTTACTAAGAATAATTCATATTATTATTATTATTCATTATTATACACATATTTTCACTTTTGACCTTTCCATATTTATTCTCCTCTATTATTTCTGGTCTCCAACCAGTCATACCACTTGTTCCATATAGTACTCTGTGTCTTCCTTTTCTTTTATCTCTTTTGTTAATTTGTCCATCTCAGCACAGTCCAGGATTTTTCTTATCACTTCTTCCTCTGATGGTATATTCTCATTTTTCCAGCACTGTGCATATGCTATTCTTGCCGCCGTTATTATATGTAAAATTAAGTACCATATTCCTTTACTATATTTTCTGTTTAAAATACCCAACAAAAAGATCTCTGGTTTCCAATCTATGGGTTGATCTATTATTTCTTCGATCCATTTTCTTGTTGTAGTCCAGTATTTTTTCGCAACTGGGCATGTCCACCATAAATGATAATATGTTCCGTGTACTTTTTTTACATTTCCAGCATGTTGGTGAATTGTTCTGGAACATCTTGGCAAGCTTTGCTGCTGGAAGATGCCATTAAAAAAAAAAACTTCCATTTTCTATGTGCTCTTACGGTTGTCACCTTTGGGAAGCTACAGGTAGTCCTTGATTTACAACAGTTCATTTAGTAACCACTCAAAGCTACAATGGCACTGGAAAAAAAGCAACTTATGACTGTTCTTCACACTTACAACCATGGCAGCTTCACCCTCATCACGTGATCAACATTCAGAGGCTTGGCCAAACCCAAGTCCTGCAGCCGTTCTTCGTACGTTTCAGTCTCCAGGCCTTTAATTTTATATTATAAAACAATAGTATGTATTTTACAGGTGGCCCAAGACAATTCCTCATCACTCAATGTGGCCCAGGCAAGCCAAAAGGTTGCGCAAATATCATCTACAGCCATGGTGGCGAACCTATGGCATGTGTGCCACAGGTGGCACGCAGAGCCCTCTCTGTGGGCACATGCACCATCGTCCCAATCCTAGGCCTTCAGCTGGGTTTTATAAAACCAGTGGTTCTCAACCTGTGGGTCAGGACCCCATTTGGGGTCGAACGACCATTTCACGGGGGTCACCAAACAACGCAGTCCGCCATTTTTTCCCCCCTTTTCCTTAGCTGAGCTACTCCCTTTTATTCTATTGGCTTTTGAAAGCCAATAGGATAGACTCTCTTGAATAGAGTCTAATTCTATTGGCTTTCAAAAGCCAATAGGAATTGTCCAGGCTGTCTCTGCCCTGCTGAGCCCGCCAAAAGTCCCATTCTGCAAACGGTGCTGCACCAGTTGAGTAGTTCTCGACTTACGACTGGTTGAGTAGTCCTCGACTTACGACCGGTTGGTGGTCGCGGCATTAAAAAGGTTGAGAACCACTGTATAAAACCTTTTCACTTTAGGCCTCCACCGCCATGTGCCCAAAAAAAAAAGGTTTAATCAATTAGTCAACTTCAACTTCTCACGGGAAAAAAAAAGATCTCACGAAATTGGAATTGATTGATTGAACTTTTTAATCCCACCCAGTCTGCCGTTACCACTGCAGCCATGCCCACCCAATGGGCCACACCCAGCCAATGGGCCATGCCCACCTGGCACCCAATGATGCATAAGTGGGTTTTGGGTTGCAGTTTGGGCACTCCGTCTCTAAAAGTTTCGCCATCACTGATTTAGAGTGTCAACGCTGCTAACATCAGATGCTTTGACCACAGTTTGAAATGCAGGCTTTCCCTCCAGTTCTCCAGCCCGCCAATTCTTATCATCTCTTATTTCAATAACCTTGGTTCACAGACTAGGTCCAGTATTGTTATGTCTAGCTAAACTCTCATGCACATTCCTCCACCCCCCCCCCACATCAGCATCATCTAAGTCTAAAAGTAAAACATAACAAGATGGTGGTGGTATCTCGGGATCTTTGCAAATGGACGTTAGAATTCCCTCGTGATCCTAACATGAGCATACCTTGAATTTTTCCGAGGCTCTGCGCTCGTGGTTGTTGGACCTGTTCTTCAAAATAAGGACCTCCGTCTTACCCAGCTCACCGTAAACCTGCAGGAAGACTTTCGCGTTGGTGCCCGCGTTCCGCACGTCTCCGGTAACGGTACAGATCTCATAGTTGATCACTTGTTTAGAGCAGAAGAGAGAGAAATGCAGCTGAGAATAATTGAAACGTAGAAATCCAGAGCGTGGGTTCAACGTCTTGCAGAGAGGTCTTTTCACAATTATAATAAGGTGACCAACTGTCCTCCTTTAGGGAGGACATTCCTCCTTTTGTGAGTTCTGTCCTCCCTTGAAAAGTGTCCTCCTACATGTCCTCCTTTTTGATATTTGAAGACTAATCTGCAGGGCTTTTTTTCCCTCATAGAACGCTCAGAACGGTGTTCCGGCACCTTTTTTTTTATGGTTTTTTTTTCCAACTTTTGCATGAGCTGTGCTACTCCCCCTATTGGCTTTCGAAAGCCAATAGGAATTGCTGCTGAGCGCACCAAAACACCCGGCTGGCAAACTTTGCACATGCAAGTTGTCTGCAGCGAAGGTGAATTGGCAGGAACTTTGCACCCCTCCCTGCTACCCAACTACGCCATTTCCTAGTTAGTTCCGAAGATACCTGGAGGACACTGGAGCGGTAAGTTTCTCTTGATCTTCGGCTCTGCTAGGGCAATAATGGCTGCGGGTGCAAGAGGCAGGGGCAGCAGGGGTGCTGCGGGCAGGATTATGAGGGGCAGCAGCAGCCGGCCGCCCCCCGTACTGTGGGAGCCGCGGGGCCCTCTCTACACGGGGCTGTGCAGGGTGGGCGGTGGTGCTGGCGAGGCGGCTGCAGGCGGGGTATGTTGATGGCGGGCTGCCCCCCGGGGCCAGTGCAGCTGGTACTTTGGGAGCTGCGGGGCCCGCTCTACATGGGGCAGTAGTGCTGGCTTGGCGGCTGTGGGCGGGGTGTGTCAATGGCGGGCTCCCCCCCAGGGCCAGAGCTGGCGCAGCTGGTGCTTTGGGAGCTGCGGGGCCCGCTCTACATGGCAGGGCAGTGGTGCTGGTGGGGTGGCTGTGAGCGGGGGCGCAGTGGGCGGTTGACCTTCCATGGGCCAAGCCAGCTTTTACAATATTTTTTTCTTCTATTTATTTGTGTCCTCCTTTTCATTGTAAAAAAGTTGGTCACCTTAATTATAAGGGTTTCTCCCTCCCTCCCTCCCTCCCTCTCTCTCTCTCTCTCTCTCTCTCTCTCTCTCTCTCTCTCTCTCTCTCTCTCCCTTTCCCTCCCTTCTCATCTTGCTTTACACACCCCTTAATTCTTCTGGCTTATTCAGAGGGAGGAATGGAAATCAAGCAGAAGAGAAGTGAGCATTCAAAGGCAAAAGGATGATCTGAAGTTCTGCCCTTAGCATCCTCTGCCCATAATTCAGGGGGTCCCCAACCCTAACTTTAATCCCGACCCCACCTTATCCCTAACCCTATAAAAACTAATAAAATTTTATATAACAACAAATACATAAATAAATAAATTCATTGCTTTGGTTTTCTTTAAAATTTGGAGACGTCCTTTTTAGGCGGTTTGTGTGGATTTTAAGCACCGTGCTGCCTTTTGCTCTGCCCTACGAAATGAAACGAAAGGAAGGCCTGCTCTTAAGTGCAGCGTTCAACCAAGAGGGAGAAAGCTCTGGTCCTGTTAGCCTTCCACAAGGCCTGGAAAGCCAGATGTTTCCCTCACGCACTTGGCCAGATGTTAGCTGACCCTGACCTGAAATGACTTGGAATGGAAGATGCTTATTCTGCATCGCGGTGTTTTTGTTCCCGCTTTCTGTTTTTAGGTTTTTACAGATAGCGACACATTGCTGGGTGGCCATATTATAAACCATCTCAATAAATATAGATGAAATGTATGAGGTCACACGAAAAAAAAGGATACATTTAGGGTATGTTCCAAGAAAAAGATAATTTAGGACAGGTGCATACAAGCATGAGGTTATTTTTTTGTATATAAAACCACAAGTGTAAGGGGGGAAAAATCTGTATAACAACTAGAGAATTTCTTTGGGGAGTTGTTCTTTTTTAAAAAAATAAATAAATACCTGAAACTCAGTGATACAGAATAATATTTAATTGCATCTTATAATGATTCAGGCATCATTTATCTTTTGCAGGAATGAGCACCGAAGACTTTGATTCTTTTTTTTTTTTTCAAACATCCACCTGACAGGGATTAATTCCTCTCAAATGGTAGCCAATTTCTCCTCAGCCTTTCATTTCCTTCACTTCCTATTTCTATACTATAATAACAGTAACAACAACAACAACAACAACAACAAGAGGAGGAGGAGGAGGAGGAGGAGGAGGAGAAGAAGAAGAAGAAGAAGAAGAAGAAGAAGAAGAAGAAGAAGAAGAAGAAGAAGAAGAAGAAGAAGAAGAAGAAGAAGAAGAAGAAGAAGAAGAAGAAGAAGAAGAAGAAGAAGAAGAAGAGGTGGTGGAGGAGGAGGAGGAGGAGGAGGACAACGATGACTGTGGGGTCCTTGGTGTTTTCTGAGCTTGAAGAAGAAGAAGAGGAAGAGGAAGAGGAAGAGGAGGAGGAGGAGGAGGAGGAGGAGGAGGAGGAGAGGAAGAAGAAGAAGAAGAAGAAGAAGAAGAAGAAGAAGAAGAAGAAGAAGAAGAAGAAGAAGAAGAAGAAGAAGAAGAAGAAGAAGAAGAAGAAGAAGAAGAAGAAGAAGAAGAAGAAGAAGAAGAAGATGATGATGATGATGGTGATGGAAGGGATCTTGGAGGTCTTCTAGTCCAACCCCTGCCATCTATCTACCCTACATGACCTTAAGAAAACTAAGTAATATTTGGATGGGACTTTTTTTCTTTTCTTTTTATTCTTTTTTAAAACATTAAAATACAAACTCCAGAAAGAAAGAAATAAAAAGCAAAAAAAAAAACCTAAAACAAAACAAAACTAGACAAGACCACACAAAGGAAAAAAAAGTGCATAAAAAGAAAAAACAAAACAAGTTTATACACAAATGGTTGCCCTTAGTTGACTATTGATAAATATATTTAAAAAACAATAATTTTCCCCCCTCCCACCTCTCCTTGCGAAGTAGGCACATAATTTATAAATAGACTCCCAAGGAGAGGTTTCATTATTAAGAGCCAGAGGAGGGTATTTGATCTGGATGGAATGGGAGACAATGATTGCAGGGATCTGTGGTAGAGAAGTTCATTTTTTCATTTCAGGTTTTTGTAATGTTCTTGTCTAGTTTTGTTTTGTTTTTGTTCATTTTTCCATTTTTCATTTTCTTTTGGCTAAAATAAATTTTTTTTAAAAAAACTTAATCCTAAATTATTCTAATTTCAATGCTTAATTGTGTTGATGATATTGTACACCGCCCAGTGCCCCTCTCTGAGGGAGATGGTTGGTTAAGAAATATGAAATATAGAATAAATAAGATAGATAGATAGATAGATAGATAGATAGATAGATAGATAGATAGATAGATAGATAATGGATGATAGATAGATAGATGGATAGATGGATGGATGGATGGATGGATGGATGGATATATAGATACATAGATACAGATAGATATAAACACTGTAAAAAGATAGAGATACTGCAGATATAGGAAAATAGATAGATAGATAGATAGATAGATAGATAGATAGATAGATAGATAGATAGATATAGATAGATATTGATAGAATATAGATAGATAGATAGATAGATAGATAGATAGATAGATATTGATAGAATATAGATAGATAGATAGATAGATAGATAGATAGATAGATAGATAGATAGATAGATAGATATTGATAGAAGATAGATAGATAGATAGATAGAATATAGATAGATAGATAGATAGATAGATAGATAGATAGATAGATAGATAGATAGAAGAAAGAAATAGAAATAGCAAATAGTTGATAGAAATAGAGATAGAGACAGATAGACAGGCAGACTGACAGGCAGACAGACAGATAGATAGATAGATAGATAGATAGATAGATAGATAGATAGATAGATAGATAGATAGATAGATAGATAGATGATAGATAGATATGGATGGATAGAATATCGATAGATAGATAGATAGATAGATAGATAGATAGATAGATAGATAGATAGATAGATAGATAGATAGATAGGTAGGTAGGTAGGTAGGTAGGTAGGTAGGTAGGTAGGTAGGTAGGTAGATAGATAAATAGATAGATAGATAGATAGATAGATAGATAGATAGATAGATAGATAGATAGATAGAAGAAAAGAAAGAAATAGATAGCAAATAGTTGATAGAAATAGAGATAGAGACAGATAGACAGGCAGACCGACAGGCAGACAGATAGATAGATGGTAGGTAGGTAGACAGACAGACAGATAGACACAGACAATAAACAAACACTCCATCCCTTACATTTCTCAATCTCCATGATTTCGCTGGGATAAACCTCAATCTGTACCTTCCCGTCAGCTTCGTTTTTGTCAAGCCATCGGTTGCAGGGGAAGTTGTACATCTTGCCGTGGACGGGGATAATAATCTGAACGCTGCCAAGGTGCCAGCCTGCTTGGAGGCCCACATTGTCGTGCCCGATGAGAATCCGGTGGATCTTCAGAAAACAAAGAGGGAGGAAGGAAGTGGGGAAGTCAGGAAAGAAGAACAGTGTGTATACCTTTTTAAAAGATCCACTGCTGCGGTGATTGGGTTGGTAAAGCAAGCAGCCTTATGGGTTTTCAGCACTTCATCAACATTTCCTGGTAGATGTGGGCTAAATAGGAGAATATTTGTAATTCAGGGTTGAAATAAACAAGTCTTTGGTGCTCTCGGACCTCCGTTGTTTTCTTGCCGACGTTTTATTATGTCTGGATTCCCAAGACAAACGAACTCATTTGGGATTCCAGGAACAAAGTTTTATTGGAGCAAAGCGTTTGCAAAGGCTGGTGGACCTCACTCACGCAGGAGAATAACCTCCATGTGCAATTCTTAAAAGCATACATATAATAATAATAATAATAATAATAATAATAATAATAATAATAATAATCCCCCAGTGAGGCACTACCTTGACATGGTTGTGGGGCTTGTGTACTCTGAGGAAGATGAGAGCTATGCCAGAGGTTCAACCATACTGGACAGGTCTCATCAGAGGCGTCAGACAAAGAGTGTCTCTCCCATAAAAAATATGGTGAGACGTAAATTTCAGAATGCCATACCGGCTCGGACGTCGCCCGGGTTAACAAGGTCCGCACTAGATATTGGAGTTCCTGGATATCTGGTGAAAAATGGGTTACAGGACTCAGGACTGTTGGCTGAGCAACCAGGGCCAGCCGCTGCAGAACTACTGGAAGAAAAGGTGTTTACCCGTCGCAGATCCACAGTGATGGAAAACAAAGAAATAATGATCTGTTACTACAGATCAAGTCCAACAAGACGAGGATATCTAAAACGAATGCACGAATTCTGGAAAGAACAACATCCAGAATCAGAAATAACAGAACAGAGACTAGCAGATCAACGCCGATTTATAATACAAAATAAAGTATTCACAGAAACAGAATTGGACGAACTGCAAAGGTTACCCAGGGCAAAGAAATCAAAGCCTTACCAGAAGTAATTCAGAATGTAGAGGCAAACCAGGGGGAGTTGGCAGTGAAGGAATCCAGCAGAGATATACAACTGTTCTCATTTGGAAACCAGGCACCTCTTCCTCAGGAAGAACAAAACCCTCTAACTAAAGAAATAAAAGAATTGAAACAAAGAATAACTGAGCATCTAGAACAGCACAAAAACAACAGAATAAGGCTGCCTGCATTGAAGCTTGTTCCAAAGAAACAGCTAGCACAAGCATTTAAAAGATGCAAATACTGCAATAGCAAGTATAAGCACCAATTCACTGCAAGAAACAAACCAACTAATGTACAGCACAGCTGCAGTTATAACAGAATACCTGGGATGCAAAATCAACAAAGAAGAAAAACAAACAAACAGTGCATCACAAAAATGGAAGGTTAGACTAGAAAATAAGATCAGCAAGTTAAGATCACATGCAAGCAAGCTAGAAAAGATGAAAGAAAAGAAGCTGAAGAACAAGAAGACCAAAGAATACCTAATCAAGAAATACCACTTAGAAACAAGGAAGATCAAGGAAGCACTGGAAATAATAAAGCAACAAATAACAGCGATAGCCAGGAAAATCAGTAGATATGAAGCTCGAATTGCAAACTATAGGCAGAACCTCCAATTTCAATCCAATCAGAAACGTTTCTACCAATCCATCAATGGAGAAACTGCAAGGAATCAGTCAGTACCTGGACAAGCAAGAAAACCAGTGCAATTATGGCAGAGATAGGGATAACCCAAAGAAATACAAACACGGATGGAGCTTGGTTAAAAGAGGTGGATGCAAATAAACAGAAGTTGTAAATCGAAAGAACTAGTTAATAACAACAAAAATGGTAGAAAAAAAAGAGCCAAAGAAATCAAAAAAATTGGTCAGCACCAGGATGAAGATGACTGCATGGGTTTTGGTTGAAACATCTAATCTGTTATACACCCACTCATTGCCAAACAGTTCAACAATATACTACAAGGAGGAGAAATTGAAAAGTGGCTAACAACTGGGAAAACCTACCTAATAATGAAAAATCCAGCAAAAGGGGCAACACCAGGTAACTACAGGCCAATTACCTGCTGACCAACAACTTTCAAATTACTAACTGGTGTAGTAGCTGATGCAGTGCAACAGCATCTAGTTGAAAACAATCTCTTTCCACCTGAGCAGAAAGGAAACCGCCCCAACAGCAGAGGACCAAAAGATCAACTCCTAATAGACAAAATGATCTTGGAACACTGCAAGAGAAGGAAGACCAACCTGAATGTGGCATGGATTGACTACAAAAAGGCATTTGACTCTCTGCCACATGATTGGATAATGAAGTGCCTAGAAATAACAGGAGTCAGTAGAAACATCAGAAAATTTGTGCAAAGATCGATGGCACAATGGAAGACACAGTTGCAGATCAATGGTTAGAGGCTGGGAGAGGTTAATATCAAGAGAGGAATATTTCAAGGAGATTCATTATCACCATTACTATTTGTTATTGCACTGTTTCCTCTGTCAACAATACTGAATAACTCAGGACATGGCTATCAAACATCAAAAACATCTACCAGACTATCCCACCTCCTTTACATGGATGATCTGAAGCTGTATGGAAAAACATCATCTGAAATAGAATCTCTGCTCAACACTGTCCGTATATATAGCCAAGATATTGTTATGGAGTTTGGCTTGGACAAATGTGCCACACTTACTATCAAACAAGGAAAAGTAGTGAAAACTGAAGGAATCAAGATGCCCCACGAAAATAACATTAAGAGTCTGGATGAGGAAGATTACTACAAATACTTGGGTATCCTTCAAGCTGACAACATCAGCACACTGAAGTCAAGAAAAGGATTGAGTGTACATCAAGAGAGTGAAAGAAGATCTAAAATACAAACGCAATGAGGAAATACCATAAAGGCAATCACACCTGGGCAATCCCAGCATTAGGTACAACAGCTGGAATAGTGGACTGGACTCAGGCAAGAACTCAAAGCATGGATAGGCAGACCAGAAAAAATTAATGACAATGAATCATGCCCTTCACCACGCAGTGACATTTGATAGACTTTATCTACCAAGCACTAGGCGGCGTGGAATCTACAAGTACATCAGATTGGTTTGAAGAAGAAAAATGTCTTTGGAAGAATATCTGAAGAACAATGATGAAGATGCACTGAAATTAGTATATCAGGAAGGCTTACTGACTACTGAGAGACCAAACTGGCCTACAAGAAAGACCAAATGAAGAACAGAATAGAGGCATGGGAAGACAAAGCACTACATGGCCAATACATGAAAAAAAATAGCTGGGAAGGCAGATAATAACAAAACCTGGCAATGGCTAAGAGCAGGAAAATTGAAGAAAGAGACCGAGGGACTAATTCTGGCTGCACAGACCAAGCCTTAAGGACAAATGCATATAAAGTCAAAATTGAGAAGACAGCAACAGACAGTAAGTGCCGCCTATGCAAAGAAGCTGAAGAAACAGTGGACCATCTGGTAAGCTGTTGCAAGAAGATTGCACAGACT